TGGCGATTTTTCGGCACTGCGGGAAAATAGTTTTTAATCAAAATATTTTACATAGATAAAAAATAGCAGTAAAATTTAATAAGTAAATGAGTAGTATATATATGAATAAATGTAATTGTATATATTATATATATGGGTATACACACACACATATATTAAACACACGCATTTCAGTATGTGTTAAATATGTACATATAACAGTAAATAGCCAATACAATATGCAATACAAGCACTGCAGACACACACACACATTCAAATAACTATGCTCAAAATGGCAGCAAGCAAAATCTGCAATGGCACTAAGAACAACTAACGGCAGCTAACGCAGTGGGCATATGTACAAAAACTAATGCACTCGCCTGTACAACTGATCCGCCCCACCATTCACTCTCCCGCTCTTCAACAAAATTTGCATTCAGGTACAGGCACATATACGTAGGTACATATGTACATATGTACCTACACACGAGCATACATTGTTTGCGCGTGTGTGTATGTGTGCATAATGTATCATGTGGGTTCAGAGAAATCTGCAAAATTGTCTGTCTATTTGTATTTGTGTTGGCGTTCGTTGGGGCATGCTTACCCCCTCCCTCTCTTGCATCCTTCTGCCCGCTCCTTCGCTCTTGTTGATACAACTACAAATATATTTGAATGTGTCTGTGTGTATGTGCATATGTAAGTAAACTAACATACATATACATATAACATTTGCATATGCATATGGATGTGTAGGTAAATGAAATTAAATTGACAAAAATGTTTAAAAATCTGTGAAAAGTTTTTGGTAAACAGTTTTTGTTGATTTACAAAATAACTATTTGTATAATATGTGTCTACATCATTTAAAGTTCAAATAATAATAAACTAATATAATACTACAAAGCATCTTAAATATTATTTTTGGCGGTATAAAATCTATCTATATTTCAGTATTTATATTGATATTGCTACACATATAAAAATCGTGCTTTACGATTTCATGGGCTCCTCTGCCTGTAAACTTCAAATTTCATTACAGGTTTCTGTATTTTACAAATGCATTTTTGTAAAAACTAGAGTTTGGATTTTTACTTTTTCAAAATTTTCTTATAATAGAAAATATTTTTTAGAAATATAAGAAATCATATTTTTGAGATTTACTATTTTATATGAGTAAATAATGCAAATAGTAACTTATATAAATAAATATATATATATAAAATAATTATATTGACATAATCGAACAGCTGTTCACAAAATTCACACAACACACAAAAAAAAATGTCGCAAGCTTTTTAACACCTTTTACTTTTTAAATATAGTTTTTGTGATCGATAACTTTTTTCGATATAAAGTGTCTCAGACCTTATTTCGACCAGTGTCTAGCAAAAAATTTAAAGTGCTATAAAGTTTAACAAAGAAACAAACGCAAAATATATAAATGCCAATGTGGCTCTACTTAATAAGATATCCTTTAGCCTTAAACATTTCCCTTAACCTATTATTTATGGAGGATACCAGCTTCCGGGTAGTTTCTGGGCTGATTTTGCTCCACTCATCCAGCAGAGCATTTTTAAGATCGGATTTGTGATTCCGGATGTTATTTTGCAGCAGAGCCCACAAATTTTCAATAACATTTAAATCTGGAGACTGAGTCGGTAGAATTATCAAGTGGGGGCAGTTCCAGATAAGCTAGGACTGCACTAATCCGGACTTATGCTTGGGGTCGTTGTCCTGGTAGAACCGGAAAGTACGTCGGATTGCTAACTTCTAGGCACTTTGGAGTACATTTTCCTTTAATATATTGAGGTACACCGTCTTGTACATTGTTGTTTCAATAAACACCAAATTTCCGACGTTGGCTGCCGAGATACATGCCCATACCACGACAATTCCTCCGCCGTGCTTGGCTGTTGCCTTTTGGTTTTTGGGATTCAGCTCAGTACTGACGCCACACATAATTCCGTCCGTCCGAGCCAAAAATGTTGAATTTGGACTTATCTTCAAATATGACGGTGTTCCAGAACTCCAAATCCTTGTCCAAGTGGGTTTTGGCGAACGTCATCATATTTCCTTTATTTTTTGCGCTTATAAAGGGCTCCTTCCGTGGTACTCGGGCATTGAAGTCATGGTTGCGCAGAACCATTTCAATCTGCACCTGTTGAGACAGTTTTGAGCCGATAGCCAAGGATTTTCCTTTATCTTCCTGATGATTCTCCGCTCTTCCTGTTCGGTGAAAATCTTGTTTGGTGCCTTTCAGCCCTTGTCCTCTATCCGATTTTCGTGGACGAAGCGCCGAATGACGTAGTATACAGTTGACCTGCTTAGATTGACCATTTCAGCAATTTGGCGATGTGAATATCCGATTTTGAAGTTTTCCAGGATGAGTTTCCGTTGTTCAAAGGTAGTCCGTTTGCCCATAGTCCTTGTTGGCTGGTTGCACCCGATATGCAGGATATAACTAAACTGACTACGAAGGATTGGTCTATTTTTACCGAAAATAATCAACCTGACGTAAAAAATCACCCAGGTGTCCATAATGCAACTGTTTGAAATAAGCTTTGATCCTAAATTATGGTACTTTTTTACATAACCCGTCCTTGCAAATGAGAAAACCCCAGTTTATTGGGGTCATCTATTCATTTTGGTGGTTAATATATGTACCTGCCATCGGTCTCTGGAATTATTGAAAAATAATGTATAATTAGTTTATGGCAGGCAATTAAAATTTTTGCTGGATACTGGTCGAAATAAGGTCTGAGACACTGTACAAACAGGGCTTCAGGCTGTCTGTTAAAATGCCAAAACGGCGATAGTTTTTACATTGATAGCAGTACTTTTTACATGTGTTTTAAAATGGAATTTTATTAAAAATAAATGGTTTAATTGGTAATATTTAATGACTATAAAATGCTATAATTCTTAAATGTGATAAAATAATACTGTAATAAAAATGAAATTCAATAATTTTAATTCTTGTGATAAATAAATGGAATTTTCCTAAATCAATTATTTCTTAATTTACAGACTAGGCGCGCCATATTGTAATACTCAAATGAAAATATAATATACAAAAAGACGAAAAGGCAAAGTGAAAAATTCAGATTGTAAAGAAAATCAAGTTAAAAACAACGAGGGAAATATTTTGCGATTAACTCGGGCCTAATTGAATGGGGAGATGCAATTGGCAGGTGTTTGGCAAGAGAACAACCCGCTCAAAACTAGTTCCTTCTTCACATATACAACAATAAAACTAGGAATATTATTATTATTAACACCTCAGCAATATTGTGCAATAATAATTGACGAGAGTCAAAAACAAAAACTACAACTATACCAAAAAAACCAATTGGCATTATTCACAATAATAATAATAATAGTAATCAAACTAAATACTGTGATGGCTTCAACGACAGCCGCGTCAAAAATTGATAGCGTTGACAACGAGTCAAGTGATAATAATAAAAATAACGGCACTAATCAGCAAAAACAACAACGGCCATTTAATAATATAAAGTTGCCCGAAAACGATGAAGATGAAAATGAAGCTGAGAAAACAACTTTAGACTGCAAACGCAGTAAATTGGAAATGGCGGAATTTAAGGAGAGTGGTGAGAATGTTGGAGCGGAGGAGGATGATATTGACGAGGGGGATGGGGATGAGGATCAGGCTGAGCTGGAGCCCGAAGATATAGAAAAATCGGTTGACGCCGAAAATAATTCCTTTTGTGAGCTGAAAACAACAAAAGCAGATTCCGAAATAAATAAATATTTAGCCTCAACAATAGATCCCTCGAAATCAGACTGTTATATACCCAATAAATATATAACAGATCGGGCTAAGGAAGATGATTTTATAGCTAATAAATATATAGCACCAGAACAGGCGCTAGTCACGCGAGTCGAACTAGTTGTGCCAGCACCAACAACAATGGATGCCATCATGATGCCAACAGCAACATCAGCAACAGCAACATATTTATTTAATTCGTCTCCCAGTGCTAAAAACAATGGTTGTGAAACAGACTCCGCCTCCAACAACAACAGCAATTTGAGTGTAAGAATTCCTACTAACTTAACATTGACAACAAAAGCAACAACAACAGCTGCAACAGCAACGGGTGATATTTTGACAACAATAACAACAACAACAGCTGCTGAGAGACGAACAGCAATTTGGGCACCGCATGGCGAATATAAAGATGATAATGCCACAGATATCGAGAAGAACGATGAGCAATCGAATCAGCAACAACAGCAGCAGCAGGAACATTTGCAGGCAGCACATCCTAATGAACTCTTGTTGCACATGGAAAAAGTAAATTCTGTTGCTGCAGCAGCAACTAATTTTGAGCAATTGCTGCCTCTGCAAGAGCAACATCAGGCGAATTTTAGTCAGCAACAGCCAACAGATATACAACAGCAGCAGCAACATAGCAGTATCTATGTACATATTTTGCAACAGCAGCAACATCAGCATCATCATCAGCAACAGCAGCAGCATCCACAGGAGCAACATCAGCAACTCCAGCAACATCCACATCCACTTCAACAGCAACAACTACAATTACATCCACACCAGCAACATCCACAACACCAGCAACATCAACAACCGCTTCACCAACCCCATCTGCAACCGCACCTTCTTCAGGAGAGTCTGGTTGATCAGCAGCGACAACAGTCAATTCACTATGCCAACTACAGCCATCAGCAATATGCACACGAGCAACTCTTTGCCATACACCAGCAACATCAACTGCAACAACAGCAACTGCAACAAGAGCAACAGCAACAGCAACAACACCTTCAACAACAACAACATCTTCAACAACAGCATCCGGAACATCTATTGCAACAACAGCAACATCCACATCAGCAACAGCTTCAACAACAGCAGCAACAACATCCACTTCAACAACAACATTCACAACAGACACGTTTGTTGCAACAGCGCCATCTAGATTACCATTTACAGCAACATCCCATTCAGCAGCTTGGCCCACATCCACATCAACAGATGCAGGAGGCTTATCATGATCTGATGATGGATGAATTTCATGAGGATCCCTGCTCGGCGTACAAGTTGTGAGTAACGTATGAAGCATTTGCTACAAGCAGTCGTAGCCGTTAAATATTAATATAAATATTAATTAAATACTGCAACATTTGTTGCACAACAAAAACTACCAATTTGTAAAAACCATTTATTATTTAGTTTAACAATGAATTTGATTGACTTGCAGGACGCTCTCCCCAAGCAATGCCAAACCGGAGAATCAAGATGATGGCTATGAGACAAGTGCCGGGGATGTGTTGACGCCCAATTCGCATAGCTCGTCGACACATTCGGTGACGCCACAGCATCAGATGCAACATGGCGGCATGGGATTGGTCACCCAGAGTAAACATGACCAATTAATGGCAACAAAGAGCTCTGAAGCGAATCAGACTGTGGTGTCCACATCGAATAGTCCGCAGGTGCAGGCACCTGGAGCAGCAGTTGCTCCCCCTCCTCTGCCACACTTGAATATGCCGAGAATTTCGAATAGTGTTGATGTTGCCGATCCTTACAGCTTTATGGGTGAGGAGATGAGTATGTTGTCACCGGTAGGAGCTGCTCCTGGTCCTCCTACTGGCCAACCAGGTGGTGCTCCTCATCATGTTGTCGATTTACCCGCCGCTTCAAATGCATCGAGCTATGCTCCGGCAACAGTCTCCTCCGATCAGATCAGATCAGATATATATAGGATTAAGGATCAACAGCAGCAGCAACAGCCTCCTCCTCCATCCAATCCCAGTGAGTCTCTCGAGGTGGAGCTCAGTGGCGGCCAATCGATGGATGCCCACAACGATTTGAGTGCGACATCCTCAGCGGGTTCAGTGCCAAAGCGCAGAGGTCGCAAAAAGAAACTCATTTCTGCTGAGAATATGCAAATGACAGTTTCACAGCCACAGTGGTAAGTTTTCTTCATACACTGTAAACATTTTTCGTGTACCTGACTGACTCACTATTTTGCACTTAGAAAATATGTGGCAAAAGTAATTTTTATCTAAGGGTTGTTCTCAGTTTAAAATACTTAAATCCAGAGAAAGAAGGGAACATTTTTAATTAAGTAATTTTTATCTAACGTTTGTTCTTATTTTAAAATACTTAAATCAAGAGTTATTTATTTGTTATATCAGTTCTGATTTAAACGTTAAATATAAATAAAGATATAAAATGTTTTTTTTTTTTTTTAATTTGCTATTAAGCATCTTTTTTCGGGTGATTTTCAAATCAAGCATGATTTCTAAAAATTTATGTATATTATAGACCGAATTAATTTGCAGAATTGAACAACAATAATTCTTTAATTAAATCTTTTATTTCTTTAAATTTAAATTTGAAAAGCATAAATACTAAAATGTATTTAAATGTGTTTTGATTTTTTTATGTTTACTGATTTTGGTACATGTGATATATATATATATAAATATATAAACAACATTTTATATTAAAAAGCATAAATATTAAATTATATTTTTAATTTATTTTCTATTTTAGTAGATAGTAAATATATATATAAAAAAAACAAAAAAATTTTAGAATATACAAATTTTTAATTTTATTTAACTTTGTTATTTATAATATGTATTTGTTGGGATCGACTATATTTTATAGATTATAGATATTGAATTCCTAGATAAACTCTAGACTCTAGACTAAGCAACAAATTAAAATAAATGTATCAGTGAAGTTGACTTGACTATTCTGTTAACCAACCAGCCAATCAATCGTTAATCAATCAATCATTTATAAGCAGCGTTGAGAGGGACGGATCCAGTGATATGCTGAATACGATGAAGCCCAAGGAGCGCAAGAAACACGATCGATTCAATGGAATGTCCGAGGCGGAAGTAATAAAGCGCACCATTCCCGACCATCTGTGTGATAATCTAGATATCGTTATAGTGAGTTGGTGTAAATTTCGATATTTGTATGTATATATATACATACATGCACAAAAGAAGAAGAAATTTGCAACAAGAATTTATTGATATAAATTGAATTTTGCAGGTGGGCATAAATCCTGGCTTATTTGCCGCATATAAAGGACATCATTATGCGGGACCCGGCAATCATTTCTGGAAGTGCCTCTATTTATCCGGTCTGACCCAGGAACAGATGAGTGCCGATGATGATTATACGCTGTTGAAACAGGGCATCGGCTTTACCAACATGGTGGCACGTGCCACAAAAGGCTCCGCGGATCTGACGCGCAAAGAGATCAAAGAAGGCAGTCGCATTCTGCTCGAAAAACTCCAAAGATTCCAGCCAAAAATTGCCGTCTTCAACGGCAAATTGATTTTCGAGGTTTTTTCGGGCAAAAAGGAATTTCATTTCGGTCGACAGCCGGATCGTGTCGATGGCACCAATACTGTAAGTATTATCTTTCATATTTTTGCACTATATAATATTATATTATTATTATATATTACTCAAAACATTATTATAAACGGTTTAAGCAAGTAATAATAATGGGGAAGAACAGGCTTAGGATACTCACCGGTCTACTGACAAGACATTGTAGACTAAGAAGTCACCTAACTAACTCGCCTTAACCAAGAAAAGATTCAGCATCGAAGCCCTCAACCCAACAACGATTTTAGCATTCGTGCAGCAGCTGGGTTTGATGGAGGAGCTATAGGTTCAGAAGAAGCACAATAGATCTAGTTGGTCGCAGAGCAATATCCCAATGATAATACTAATTCAAATCACTACGTATATTTCTGACTTTAAATATGGGATATAGTCTGTAGTCTGATAGGCATCCAAAGAACACATCGGCAAATTTTTGTCTGAGCTTTGGTTGCAATATGAAATTTACATCTGGTAAAAAAAAATTTGATAAATATTAAATCAAAAGTAAACCAACCATGTTGCCATACTTAAAGTACTTTTTTCATGTTGATATCTTATTTTATTTATTTTTACTTTAGTTATTTATTTTAGTTGTTATTTTTATTATTTATTTTGTTACTGAATTGTAGCAACTTAAAAGTTGGGAACTAGACTTTAAATTCTTGGCGAGCTCTTTTTATTTATTTCTTTTTACTTATTTATTTTATTTAATATACTAATACAAAAAGTAGCAAACCAATTAAATTAAAGTACAAATAAAATTTTATCAAAGTAATCAAAGTACACAAACAAAATAAATAAATATTTAACAGTTTACAGAGGGTATTTAAATGTAAAATTGATTGGAGAAAAACACAATCAGACCAAAAGAGAATAGTTAGCATGAAATAGTTACGATCAATCCTCACTGCTATTTACGAGACAAGAAGCTTTAAATTGACTAGAGGAACCTGAATTGAGCTCAGCGTTTATTTATTTAATGTTAGCTGAAGTCAGTCCACACAAAAAGACAACAAAATTGAATAAAATTAATTAATTAAATAAATAACATTTAAATGTATATAAATAAATTAAAAAGTAAATATTTATAGCTTTAGTAAATCGTAAATTGTGGCTTCTTAAAAAGTTAGAAAAATATGTCTAATTTCCAGGATGTTTTTTTCTGTGTGTGTAAAGAATTTTTAAATTAACTTATTTTGTACCTATTTAATTAATGTTATAAATGATAAGTATATTAGTATTTGTAGAGCATTTTTTAAAGTATTTAAGAGCTATATAGGATCAGAAGGACCACACTAGATCATAAAGATCACAAAAAAATGTATTATGATAGATAACTCTTTTTGTTCTATAATAATGATGTATAACTAATGTAAATGACATTTAATTGTGAATTTTGCAGTATATATGGGTAATGCCCTCGTCATCGGCACGATGTGCCCAATTGCCGCGTGCCGCAGACAAAGTGCCCTTCTACGCGGCGCTAAAGAAATTCCGTGATTTGCTCAATGGCAGCATACCGCACATGGATGAGGACGAATGTGTTTTTACCGAGCAGCGAATACGACAATGTGCCGAGCAGCAGCAGCAGCAGCAAGTTGACTCCCTCAAGGTCACTCAAACGTTGCCAAACATTAGCAACAATAATAATAATAATAATAATAATAATAATAATAATAATAATAATAATAATAATAATGTGGCCAGTGTGGAACAACATGGCAATCAGCCAAGCAATCTGATTTTTGGCGAGAATTTGGGTGGAGCAGCTGGAAATAATACAAATATAGATGCCAGCAATCAGGTGGAGAAACTAATGCCACATTTTAATGCAAGCAGCTCGAATAATTTTATCTACGGCAACAATGAGGAGCAGAATTATCTATGTGTCTATGAGAATCAGCAGCAGCAACAATCACAGCAAACTTTGCCGGAGAAAAAGAAACGTGGTCGACCCAAGAAAATAAAGGGACAGGAGCTGATGGATGCCACAAGCGGTGGCAAGGTGCAACTAATGCCACAACATGATTTTAATAATATATTAAATTTATCCATGATGGCTAGTGGAGGGCCAGCAGGAGCTGGAGCTGTTGGTAATTTAGGACCCGCTCCTGGTGAGTTGCCCACCAAAAAGAAACGCGGCAGACCCAAAAAAGTCAAACCGAGCATGGAAACAATGCTGGCCTCGGGCAAACAACAAGTATGCTCCTCCAATACGGCAGTTAATCCCAATAAGAACCCAACGGGAACTACGACTAGTTTCATGGAGCACGGTACGGCATCGCCGCAGAGCAGTAACCATCAGGTACCGCCCAGTCTCTACAATACACCGCCCCCATCTCATATACTTTACACGGCCTCCGCTTCGCCAATGGCATCGCCTGCTTTGAATTGTAGTTACCCCGTGCCACAGGCGGCTACGGCGGAGTCACATGAGAGCGCTGTGGTGAATGCAATTAATCCGGCGCTTGCCCATTTGGGTGAGACACCGCCGCCCAGTTCACCGAATATGTGCGCAGTGGTCGATTTTGAGCCACCCGATGGCAATCCGCTGGCACAACAATCACCGGAGGGTGTGCCGTATGCGGCGACACGCGTACCGGAGACACTCACACACTGTCAGCAATGGTTGTCGCCCAATAACAATAATAATAACGCCAAGCAGCCAGCAACGGCTCAAGCCTCGCCCGTCGCCATTGCTCACTATCCGCCGGGCTTCAGCTATACGCCGGAACAGCAGCAGCAGGCGGATCACTGGCAACGTTACGAAGAGCAGTCGCCACACAGGAGAGCCTATATGCTGGGCTCACCCCAGCATACACAGCAGCTGCATCTTAGTCCACAGGCTGCCTCGGATATGTCGCGCAAGAGTCTATCCGGTTTGGAGTCGCTGGTGGATCAAATACCAGCGATAAGTGAACATGAAACGTCCGCCATATCATCAGCAACGGCAGCTGCTGCGGCGGCGGCGGTCGAAAGTCGACTGATGGGTTTACACCAGCAACAACAGAGTAGTCAGCAGCAAAAGCGCTGTCAGTTGGATGTTAATGTTGAGCAAGCAGAGCCCATAGCGCAAAACAGCAATGTGATTAATAGCTTCTCCGTTAGCAGTCTGGCTGCGTCCGCAGCAAACACAAGCAGCGTCACCAGCAGCGAAAACAGCAACCGGCCCAACAATAGCAGCGCTAACAGCAGCGAAAACAACCATAACAGCAGCAGCCTTAACAGCAACTGCCTTAACAGCAACAACGCTCACAGCCACCAAGATTATAACAGTCACAGTCCATCAATAGCGGCTTATCCACCACACTTAACAGCGAGCAGCAGCAACAGCAGCAGCGTTAACAACAACAACAGCAACAACAACAACAGCAACAACAACAACAACATCAACAACAGCAGCAGCAACCAGACACAGCTTAATCTGAATTTAAATCATCATATGGCAGCGTTGTCACATCATCCGCCCCAAATGTATGTGGAGCATGCGCACATGGCGCACGTGAACACAATGTATGCGCCAGCCTACAACCCACAACATGGTGCAGCTGCTGCTGCTGCTGCCACCGATTACGGACATGGTGCGGTTTATGGTGTTCAGGTGCCGAGTCCAAATTATCCGTATACGCATTATGGTCATACACCGCCGCAGAGTAATTATACGGGCTTTGCCCATACGCATCCACATCCGCATCCCCATCCACATCCCCATCCACATCCCCATCCACATCCGCATCATCCACATGCGCATCCACATCTAAATCATTTGAATCATCACCATGGGCATCTGAGCGTCTTTGAGCGTCTCAAGCCGTCCGATATAAGCGGCTATAGCGGTTTCTGATGCCAGACAGAGATGGCGATAGGTAGAGACACAGAGCAGCAAGAAGAGGAAGGCGGCAGCAACAACAGCTAAAACAACAAAAGCACACACTATACGAATACAGCGGCGTTAACTAAAAGAAAACTGTGTATGTAAAAAAAAACAAACGCTGTGAAAAATTAGCGGGCAACTTATTCGAGCGACAATTGCGTGCATAAAAAAATGAAATTATCAGCACAAGCCAAAGTAAAATGCACAAATTACGTTATGTTGCGTTGCACAGTGTATAAAGGCTATTTTTCGCCTCTCACTTTGCCGAACAATCGCAATTGGCCTTCCAGGCTAACTCAACAATCACAATAACAAGAACAGCATTCTCATTACAAATCAGCGGCATCTAAAAAGAAAAAAAAAACTATGCATCGATCACTTCGAAAAATCGGCGCGACAATAAGAAATTCTCAACAGCAGCCAAAGGTAAATTCATAAAATTGCCGAAGCAAAGCAAAATGAATTGCATTTTAGCTTTGCACAATGTATGACGGTGGTTTTTGCGTTCTATCGCTTTGCCGTTCATTCATTCTACTGTGTGTAACCCGCCCAAAAACACCAACAACAGCGATTGGCGACAACTAAAAAATAAACTGTGCATGGATTGGTATACATACTAGCAAATGATGCGACCAACAATTGCGCATATAAAGGAGTAAATTCTCGACTAAAATGCCTTGCCTTGCTTTTTTTTTACGCTCTCTCGTTATGCCGCTCATTCTGTTGTCTCGCCTGAAAGGCACCTCTCTCTCCCCCTCCCCCACGACGCGGATTATGGCTGATCGACAGTCTAAAGTCTCACTTTCAAAATGGCCGCCGCTTTTGCCGCTTATACTTACATACACTTACATAGAATACATACAATACATGCTAACATACAATACATACGTGTAGTTTTTAAGTAACGTTTTACAATTAAATAAGATAACCAAAGACTCCGCCTAATAAATTTCTTTTGTAAGCATACGAAAAATTATTAAGTACATATATATATATATATATTTGTGTGTGTGTGTGTGTGTATATATATGTGTATGTGTACAATATTATACTAGAATATATATTTACATATGCATGTGTATATTCGACAAACGTGTAATTTTTAATACTAGTATAAGTACTAGTACTAATACATATTCAGCTAACTGATATAACACGACGTGCGCATATACATTAAAGTTAAAACACATACATTTTAATTTAATTTATTGGTAGACTCTTCGAGGTTGTTCAGCGGACGCACACATAGGAAGCACACGTACACACCCACATACACACACACACATACACACACACATACACACACACATACACACACACATGCATATCAAACTTTTAGTTACGTATGTAGGTGTGTGTGTGTGTGTGTGTGTAGGTGTGTACATATGTCTGTACTCATAGCTTTTGTCTTGCTATCCTGGCATACGCATTAGAGATGGACGGATGACAATTTGCGTACTTAGGAGGGGCGTATATTAAATACATTCACTTGAATAGACACGAATTTTAATTCGGATTTACCACTAATTAATTAATAGACATATAGTTTTTATTATTCATTATTTTGTTGTGTATTAATTAAATAAAATAATATAGGAAAGGTTGAATTTACCACAAATTAACCAAAAAAATCAATCTACATCAATGGATACATATTTTTTGTTATTCGCTATTTTGTTATGTATTAAATAAAAAAGTATAGTATTGATTCTATGATATATGAGTACTTTTTATGCAGCATTAGAATAACGAGAATCTCTGAAAATTTAAATTTTTAAATTATATTCTTAGCAGTTAGTACCTTAACATTGTCTTTAATTGTATTTTATTTAATTTTAAACTTTTTGCATTATATTTTTGTGGAACCAACATTGTTCAATATAATCCCAAAAATTCGATTACGGCAGAATTAAACTATTAAGGGATATTTCCAATCTAATCCCGAATAATAATATTTTAAAAGAGTGACTTAATAATTTACAAAAATTTAGTAATTAATAATAATAAAAGTAATCCTTGTGGATATCATTGATGTGGTTTATATCTAAAAATGTTGGTTCCTCAAATTATTAAATGAAATTAGCCAAGCTTAAAATTAAAGAAAGTACAATTAAAACCGAAGTTATAAAAGTGAATCATATATTTTTAGTGGTTGATGCAAAAAAGTACTAATTTTTTCGTAGAATTTGTGCAAAAATACAAAAATAGGTTGAATATATATATTTTTTTTGTTAAATTAAAATAATGTAAAACGCTGAATAATAAAAAAAATATTTATGTATATATATTTCTTTTAATTAAGATTTGTAAATTCAGTTTAAAATGCGTGTGTCCTTTCAAGTGCATGGCAGTGTTTTTATTTTTGTTTTTGAGATTGTATGCAGACAATATTAAGAGCTTTTTATTTATTCAAAGTGTCTGTTCGTAACTCGAATTTAATTAAATTGTGCAACAGATTACTTTTTAGGTTTCAGTTGTTATTCGTATTTTGTAATTAATGACTGGCATTATTATTCTATAAGGGAATGATATATTTTAAAAATTACGTAAATTACAAAAATTAAAAAAAATATATCGTGATACGGATAAGTCTTTATGATGGTGTTTAACACGTGTTTATAAGAAGACCCTGCTAAGATTTTTCTGGGTTTTCTCAGCACTTTTTTTTTATTAAATATTTTCTTAGAAACCTTCAACATCTCTAGTTCGAATAGAGCTTTTAGTGTGCAATTTACAGTTTAGATCTATATTTGATAAACTGTATTAAAAAAACAAATCACCTTTTTATATATACATATATATATACATATATATATGTATATTTATTTTCTCTTTTATGGTGTACTTAAATATTTAGTTAATAATAATATTTGTTCAGCGGTGATGATGATTATAAAAAAAATATTGACTTGATTCGTAAACATTACTTACAATAATAAGAATGGGTTGTTGTCCTTAGTATTTTAAACTGATCGATTTTATGGAGATATGCAAAATGATGTCTGATTAAATAGCGATGTTTGATTGCGGATCTCAAATGTAAGAGGTAGTGTTCAAATTTGAAATGTATATCGATTAAGGTCGATTATAGATTTTGAAATAATTTCAGCATGTGTATTTAAGTTATTTTTGTTGGTCGTCAACAGAACGTAAGTATTTATATCGTAAAATCTTCCAGCATTCAACTTATTAAACTTATATATAAAAAAACATAAATATGAACTGAAAAACCATGTCAAACAATCGCTTAAAGATCAGCCTTTCAATAGAAGCCACGATGACTCCTGTCGAAAATAGATGTTTTTAAATATTAAGCTCGGATACTTGGTCTAGATATATATTTGCAGCTACAAGCTACAAGTGTACCTAGATAGGGTCCCAGCTATGATAAGCTTAATTGTATATAGTTTTAGATAATTTAAGAGTTATTAGTAAATCTGTTGAGAGAATTCAGAATCAGCAGTCTATGATGGGTTCATAGAGTAGCTCTTGAGTTAAAAAAAAAAATATGAATTTTGAATATTAAAATCAAAGACTGTAAATTTTGGAGCATCATCATTTTGTTTTTGCTCAAGACAATCGATATATTGCGTATTTCCTTGGATTTTCTGCCCACAGCAAAAACGTTCAGCTTTTTGATTGCATTATTATCTAAATAACGCAATTGTTCAAAGTAAACAACAACAGCACATCTGGCTGATCGACAGAGGGAAAGAGAAAAAGTACGCTGCAGAAATACAGCGCTGTTAACACAAGCAGCTGCAGTCACATAATTAACAGTTCACTTAGTGTGCAAACGTAATTAACATTCTATCAACTAAAATTTATGTTATGACACGCAGGGCGCCAAATTCAAGTATGCAAACAATGTAAACAAATTAATGGTTGGTTGTAAGCTTTTGAGAATTGAAAGCTTTTGCGTATGTGTAAAAAAGCTTCACAGCGGACTTGGCTGGCGGTGGGCAAAAATTAAGAAATTTAAATTTTCATTAATTGTTTTTTGACATTTTTTTAAACTACAAAAAACGATTATAGATAAACCATTACCCATTAAAAATGGGTAAAATTTTTATAAGTAAATAATTGCCTTGTGCAAAAGTATGTAACAGCCAGAAGGAAGCATCTCAAAACCCCAAAGCTATACATATTGTTCAGTAGGATTAACAGCCGAGTCGATATAGCCATGTACGTGGAATCTCCGAGACTATGAAAGCTGTTGAAAATATGTAAAAGATCAATACAACATTCCGATTACTAATTTTAATAACAGAATATATCTATACTGCGCTCGATACCTTAACTTAAGAATACATTGAATAAAATCTTCTTAGTTTAACCGCCAAACCTAGTGCATCACTTTTTGCCGCTTTAAAAACCCAACAAAAGCCACACTTAAAGTTTTGAGTATATTGGCTCTCGCAGAGAGAATTTATTTAATTCGATAGATAACTGCCTCCGTTTTGCAAATATCGATACCTATTGATTGTCGATTGCAATATATATCAACAGTCAGAGCCTTTAAATGGATATATATAGTATGCCTTATTAATCAGCCAAATAAATTTTATTAAAAAAAAATCTCAAAACCTATTCTCATATATTTATTCTCCTCAATAAATAAGAAAGGATAGCACTTCCCATACACTCAAATTTATGTGAAATAAAATGTTTTTCAAATTTAAATGAACCAAGAGAATGAGACTTGAAAATATTTCAAATATATATTAAATTGAAATTAACATATTTTTAAAAAATAATCATTCAAACAATTAATATTTCAGGACTGTAATTATTTTATTGTATATTGAATATACAGTGAGTGGATCTAAAAACACCACCAATAATAGAATATCCTCGTTATTAATAGATTCCCATTATTTATATTTTTATACACAGTAGGAAAATACTTACTTATTTTAGCTGGTTGATTATGAGTACTAAAATCAGTATGAAAACACATACATATATACATATATATGTGTAAAAACACATGCGACTATATATTTATATATATTTTTCATGTCTTTATTTATAATTTTATAATATCTGCACATCTGTTGCCATTTATTATGTATGTAGGAACTTTATAAATATGTATATTTTACTTTTATATTTGTTTTTCGTTTGTCGTTTTTTTTGTAAATTCAATGCAATTATTGCAGCAACTCTGATTAACATTATGATTATTCTGTACTTACAGTTACATGAATTTATTGATGAATGAAGTATGTGTGTGCGTATGTAAATCGATGTATGCATGGAAGAAAATTATATATGTATATAAAATAGCTAATTTATTTATTTGCGCCTTTGAATTGTGTTAAATATTTTGTACACAAATATATACCTAACATATATAAACATCAGGGATCAAATATGACGACAACGGCTATCGGCTATTGGTAATCGGAATTGTTGTGGGCAAGCAGGCTATATGAGCATATATCCTTACAAATTACAGTGATATGTCATATGCTTACCAGCTCTCTTTATACTACATGTATGTAAGTATCTGTGTGTGTGTGTGTGTGCATGATAGAATATTTCCATGTATGTGTTTATGAGAATGTAACGGTTTTTATTTCTCTTCTTTTCATTTGTTTTCTTTATTTTTTCTTTGCAATTAACTTATTTAGTTAAGCACAATAATTAGACTTATGCTGTATATATATATATATATATATATATGTTTATGCATATTGGTTTAATAATGTGTATTCGATTTTTTTTCCTTTTTACAACTATTCACTTTGCTGCTGCGAGGTTTTCTGTCTTAGTTTTTGTAATATTTCATTTCGTGTAACATAATTTTTTAGTGCAAATTCTAATCCCTATACACACATATGTATATGTATATGTGTATATATATATATATATATATATATATTTATTTTTTTTTTTTTTTAATCCATTCTGTACTATTTTCTAATAGCTAAAAAATTTTTGTTTATATTTTTAATACTATAGGAACTTGTAATTAAAGTTGTTTTCTTTATTCTTATTCTTTAGTTTTTAAGGTTTTTTTGCGTGCTGTTTTTTTATTTTTATTTATTTTCAAGTAATTCTATGTAGTATTTATATAGTTTAGCATGAATTTTTGTCCTCAGCAAGTATGTGTTGTGCGTTTGTGTATAAATTTTATAAAATGCCAAGAAATTTCGAATTTCGAAAAATATTTAATAAAAATAGTATTTAATGTTCATTTATATGAGTGCTTAAATTAACTTTGAATAAAATAATTATAATTATCAATTAATTAATAAGTTCAAATTTATTTTAATAATTTAGTCGGTAATATTTGGAATATATTTTTTATGGATACTATATTCACTCAATAGTAAAGTAGGACGCTGTCTCATGCGAAAATATTTCAAAGCCTCATTAAATACATATTTGCACATGTGTAGATATGTGCATCATCCATACATACATTTATATGTATAACGGTATTATATTCATCAGGCGAGCTTTTTACATCTGACGCTCGACACTGCAATGGAAGCCTATGTAACTCAGATTCTAATTATGAAATAATCCCTAAATTTACAACCTCTAACAAAAACTAACTTATAATTAAAAATAAAATATATAAAAAAATTAAAATATTTAAATGTAGTTTGGTAAAATTTTGTAATTTTATATTGCAATTGCTTTTATTTTTTTTAACTATGAAATAGTGTTGTCTCCAAATTTAAAATTTTTAATAAAATCTAACAAAAATTAAAAATATATTAATTTTTTTTATTTAAATACAGTTTAGCAAATGTTTTTGTTATATTTAATTATGAAATAGTGTTGTCTCCAAATTTACTTCTAACAAAATCCAGCTTAAAAATAACAAAAAATATAATAAAAAAATATTAAAAATATGTAAAAGCCGCTTTGTAAAACTATAAAAAAAAAACTAATATAAATAAGATTTATAGAATTTATTCAGCTGTCTATATGATGTCTGCTTTCTTTTACTATCGATAATCGGTATATATTCGGTACATATCGAAGGAACTGTGACAACTTCTTTTTCACAAATATATATATATATATATATATATATATATATAGGAGTCTCTTTTTAATTTATTTATATATATATATTTATTTATTTATTATATATAAATATATATATATATATATATATATATATATTTGTGAAGATGAAGTAAATTTCGATGGTGTGTGTGTGTGTGCTGGAATGTGTGTGTGTATCTACGTTCAAGCCAAAATACATGAATAGAATGTATATTTAGCATTAATTTTTTTGTATGTACATATGAGAATGCATAGCAAAGATAAAACATTGGCACATTTTAAAAAAATATTTCTACATGCATGAGTTATACATTATATATTATGTCATTATGTATATGTTACATTATTATAATAAACATTTTTTTCTTTTTTATTCTGACACTTTCCAAAAAATGTGATTTATTATTGATCTTTCTCCAATTTGTCGAGCTCTAAATAAATATGTGTATTTTGATCGATTTTAAAAGGTATATGAATTGAACTCGGCATGCCGAAATTAATTTGTAAACTTAAAAATGTTGTCATATTTAATTTTATTTTGTTGTTTTTAATTTAATACTTAAATAGAATTAAAGGCATAAAGCAATACAATGCTAGGAACTCAGTTTGCATCTCTTTAATTCTAATTCTTTTTTCCCACATTTTGATCAGATTACACATATAAGTATGTGTGTGGTGTGAAACAATAAATGTAGGTAGAAATAGCATTACTCCCTAATACTTAAATATGGTATGCGTATAGAGGATTTTTTTTTTTTTGCTACACAGTCATACGATTTTACACTTGCTATGAATTTAGTATTATTTTTAGTGATTCATTTGATAGGTTGATATAATTTTTATTTGTTTTAAGATTATTGCTACATATTATAATATATATATATATAATATATATATATATGAATAGTTAGGAACACTTCCGTATAATTTGTAATTATTACTAATTAGTTAGCTCTCCCTTAATTTTTTTATTTTTTGTTAATTTACTTATACATAATTATGTATATATTTCGCCGCATGAAATGTCATGCTTTAAATTTCTTTAAAATAGGAACTTTCAAGTTTTCGTAGTATGTAAATATATGGATATTATTATGTCGTGCCTATATATACTAAATATATATATACGCATTCTTCTCCGACTTTTCACGTCCTTTCTTTCTTTCTGCGGCAATCCGTGCAATGACCTATTTGTATACGAAAGTAATCTGTGACGATTGAAGATATTATTATATATATATTATATTTAAATTGTATATATTATAGAGAAACTTACCTACTGATATCCAGCATTATCGCGCCCAAATTATTTCAAATTATTTGCCACCTATAACTGTTAAAATATTCGTTTACTTATTGCAGTTTAGGTATAGGTAGGTATACCTATTGCAGTTTAATAATTATTTTTTTTTTAGATTTTATATTTTCTACTTCTTTCAATTTCTTCTTTTATTTGGTGTTTTCTACAAATATTATACATTTTCTTCCGTCTTTGCATACCCAAAAATGTACCTAAAAATTCGATATTCATAACTCGAAGTGTGAATCGATTAAGCCTATAAATTTCCTACTATTTTCGACTAGCCACAAAATACGAAGTACATACCTTAAAGTGTAAATCGATTACACCTATTTGAATAACATCTTTAAAAGTAAAAAAAAAGTTAATTAGTTGAAAATTATAAAACCTAAATATTTGCGACAATTTTAGAGCTAAGACTAAAAATAAATAAAATGAAAAAAAATGATTGTCACATCCTTTTCGAATTTTCAGCATAATTACCAATATTGAAAATCTGACCCATCTTTTTTTTTTGTATATCTTAACGTTATATGGCATCTTGGCATTTTGGCATTGCGGATAAATCAAAATACTCACAAAACCAAAAATCGTAATTTAATAAATGAAATTAAATGAAAACATGAATTGAAGTCAAAAATAGGTTTATTCTTTGAACAGAATCTTAATGATTAAAATAATCAGTGTAATTGTGTAATTAATTGATTGCGTTTATGTAATACTCAAATAAACATTGTTCTTGTTTGAGGTATGCACTACTTAAACTAACCTTCAAGATATCAAATGTTTTGTGTTATATTTATTTATATATGCATGATATTTTTAACTGATTACACATACTATTTACACAATTGACAATTTTCAAAACTTAAATAAATTGTTATTTGTAATTTTCAAAAGCAACGTGACTAAAAAAAAGAAAACTGAAAAAGTCAAAGCAAAATTGTTTTTTTTAATATTACATTGACTTATTTATAATTATATTCATGTGATTGTGATTGACAATTAGTGACAGAAAATTAAATAACTCTGTTAAGCTGTAAGTTTTACTACGGAATAGCAGCCATAATATTATTATGTTTGACAACCTGATAAAAATATAAAATTCTATATTTGTAAGTTATTTTTTTTTAAATTGAAATTTGAGCTGCCAATTGTGTGTATGGGAGGATTTTATTGTAAAAAAATCAAAATATATATACATAAATATATATTTGAATAAATGTAGGCATATATAAGCGGGGACACTTTAAGAGTTGAGATTTATATCATTTGACATGAAAGATATATATATAGTTATATATATATTGTATTTATTATTTTGTTGCATTTCTATTTGCAGTGGCAATTAAGACACATAATCAGTTACATAGGAATATATATAATATATATATCTAATATAAATAATAAATTGCGAGGCATATGTTTATTATTACTATTCTTTTTGTCTTGTTTTGTTTTTAAAAATAAACTGTATAGTTAGTAGCTTAATTATTATTGTTTAAAACAAACTTTTGTTAAGTCTTTGACATTACGTTCGCGAATGATATATCTTTACATCGTTGGGGGAGGGGGCGGGGTCACATATATTAAATTAATAATTGTACAATATTTTATTTCTTACATAGACACACATACACATACACACGAGTGTATTCGATAAATCGATACTAAATTATAAATTGTGTACATAGAAGAATCAAACTAAGAAAACATGCGATTCCATCACGAAATAATTAAAATAATCGAATCGAAATCATATTTAAAATTGCCGCCGTTGATGCCCTGGAAAAGTGTCGCAATTCTCTTACCAGTGATGTGATTGCGATTGAACATCTGTTGCATTAGTTCACGGTTGGTCGACGTTTGCTTTCGGCTCGGCGTCTCAATTGCCTCATCGGCAATATCATCGGGCAAATCGCTGGCACGACGCCGTCGCTTCGTGTTCGGACCAACGTCCGAATCATCGCCTGCTGTTGTCGCCGTCGTCGTCGGCGTCGTTGTAACAGTCGCCGATGCTACATCCGCATCGAAATTCATTTCGGCTGGCAATGCTGCTACAGACAAACTCTTATTGCTGCCACTGTTATTGGCAACAACATGCTGCAGCAGAAATGCCTTGGACAGGCTATAAACACGTCTCTCTCGCTCCGAGTCGTTGTCATCGCTGCCGCTCGCATTGCTGTTTGCGTACAGTTCACTTGTCTTCTGTTCGAGCAGCTCTTTCATTTTACAGATGTGTTCCACGGTGAATCCATGTTTGTGCATGGTCACATGTTCGCTGTTAATAACATTGGACATTGGCTCTTTTTTGCTCGCTCTTTTTAGGCTGTTGTTGTTGCTGTTGTTGTTACTGTTGCTGTTGTTGGCGTTGCCAGCTTCCTTGCCACTCGATCCATCAAAACTGTTGTTGTCGTCCGAAATGTGCGCATATTGGCGCTGATTTCGTGACTTTTTGTCTTTGGCCCGGGAGTTTTGAAACCAAACCTGTAAGATGCAAAAATGCAAATTGAGCGTATTATTCTGGTCTGTTTGCGTTTTTTTCTCAAATCAAATCTTATAAATATTTCCCATTTTTCTTTTAAATTCAAATTTTATTTTTAATTTAGTTTAATCTATTTTTTAATTTTGTATTTTTTATGTGTCGATTGACTTTAGTTGACATAAAATCGATTAATAAATAAATGATTTAAGACACATTACCTGTGTGACTGAATTGAGCTATTTTTATGTTCATTGATCGCAACAATAAATTAATTTGTTTATTTTGTTTGTATAATACGTCATAACATAAGTGTGTAATGTTAGTTGATGGAATTTTAATCATATTTGCATACATACATGAATTGTCTGCTTAGTGGTATTATTTAAGTGCACTTCAACTGCAGTCGAATTGTTAACAGCGCTTCTTTGCTCAGTGTTCTCAAAGATATGACTGAGATAAATGCATTATGCTAGATGTTATTGCATTTCCGCTTTATGTTAAGTGCACTGATTTTATTTGTTAAATATATTTTTTCTTTGCCACTTACGACTTTTTATAATTATTGTAGGTTTTCTTTTGAAGATATTAATGCCACATTCATTTATAGGCAATCAGGTTCAAACTACGATTTAGTTTATATTCGAAATGACTGGAAAGAGCTTGGAACTTAGACTAAATGTTTCCTTTTGCAAAAAAACGGTGGTGTGTTTTATAATATATAAATAATACATATATAATTTACAATATATAATACATATTTCTAATTTATATAATTAATAATGAAACAAAAATACATACGTATATATAAAATATGTAAAAATATGGGAGGGCAAAAAAAATAAAAAAAAGTCCTGCGAAATCAAAGATTGTTCTTCTTGGAAGTATTCCTAGTAGGAGTTATTTTGTATATGCTGCTTTTATCAGATAAAAGTAATTTACATCTGTGTGTACAGTTGAAATGCTTGGCTTATATAGTTTTTTATTATTTATATTTATATTCATGAGGAATTCCATCAGTTTGTATTTTTGAAAGATTTCATTTGCTAATTGAAGCGATCATTTAATATTTAGAATTACCTGTATCGAATTCATCATTTAACAGCTATAATTGTTAAGTTTAAAACATTAGCAATATCCTTGTCCATTTATAATTTGTGTTTTTTGCTTCGCATTGCGAAATCTTTTACAAAAGATCATAAATTTTTACTTGTAGTATCGTCATGGGATTTAATTTGTACTTTGCTCACAATTTGACATTTCCATTTGGTTTCTAATGCACTGGGCAGCAGTGTGTGTAAATGTGATTGCATTTCACTAAATTTAACAAAAATATAAAATATAAAAGAAAAATTTAAATAATTACACGAATCAAATAAATAAAAAGTTATAAATTAAGCTTAAAAGTACCAAATTTTCCGGCTCAAATTCATAAGAATAACCCGGTTTTAGGCCCATTTACACTATAATCTTTATCCAATAAATGTTTAGAGGCGGGGGCCTGGGTTTGCGTAGGTGGGTTTGACATATACCACATACATGTTGGCTAGGCCAACAACCTACAAACCAAATTTGGAGACCATACCCTTAAAATTGTGGGAGATATGTGGGTTTATCAATTTTATCGATTTCCTAGCCCCCTAATGGACGTAGCACTCCAATTTTTACACCTTGCCTGACCAGGGTACAGACCAGTATTTGTTCCAAGTTTCAACTCACTATCTCTAAGGGTTTCGTAAAAAGTTGCGTTCATACAGACGGACAGGCAACTTGACGGACATTGCACAAAACCAATACCAAACCAATACCAATACCAAATCCTTCGGTATCAACGCATACAAAGTGCAGCCTGCAGCCACAGCTGTCACCTGTTGATTCCGCTTTGCAACCTTGCAATTGCGCGCTTTGCAACACTAAGTAATTTTTCAATCAATGGCGCGTTGTTCGAATTTTATTACTATGTGTCATTCAAATTTAACAATGCCAATAGTCCCATCTCCGCTATTGTAATTACACCATAAAAACGGCTAGTCTTTTTATAAAATATTAAAACATAATATGCTATACTAATTAGCCACAATATTTGCTGCTGCCCAACATAGTCTCCTGTGACTGCAGCTTCAGCCGTTTCTTAGCAACCGTATATTTGTTCAAATTATAAAAGCGTAGCGCGCTTTTTAAATTTTGTAATTATAACGGGTCATTAAAACTTAATTACTATGTATTATGCGTTATTTTTTAAATTTATATCTTTTTATGTCCCAATTTAATTATTGAATATTTGTACCAAAATCTGCTAATTTTTGATTAAATGTTAAAGCTCATAATAGGTTATACTAATTAACTACAATGGGCATTATAGATCTGTTATTTTTAAGGTCAATTCGTTCATCTTAAAGTATAGTTTGGGAAGTGAGACTAAAATCTACAAGTTATAAATTCTAATGTCATCCAAAACTTACCTGGACTACTCGCTTTTTAAGATTAACTTTCTTGGAGATCTCCTCGAGCATTTTGCGGCTCGGATTTGACTCGGTCTGGTAGCACTCATATAGGAAATTCAATTGATCCGGCAATATTGTGGTGCGCAATCGTTTGTTTTGCTTGGATGGGGCACTCAGCTGAATTGATGAATCGGAGGGAGTACCATCATTGGCACTGACCGTCGATAAATTCACACTCTCCACATTGGAACTGGGATTATTATCGTCATCGTTGAATGTCAGCATTTGTGAGTTATTCTCAATCATGGTGGCATCGAGAAAATCCTCCAGGTTTTGAAAATACTGCGATTTGTCGTTGTCGTTGCTCGATTTACGCATGACCAGCAAAGAGGCTTGAGTGTTGTCCCCATTGATGATTGATGGATTGATTGAGTGATCATTTAAGCCAGTTGAACTGGGCAAATCGGTTTCATTCTCCTTCGACTCCCTCAAATCGAAATGTTGGCCAACATTAATATTAATATGATTATTATTCAATTTCTCGTGTAGATCAGCTAAATCATTATTTAAGCCATTTTTCGAGCTGCTGATTACCTGCTCGATTTCTTCCTTAATGTCCGTTTTTGTTGAATAATATTGTAGATCAATATCTCGGTCGTGAGTAATACCCAGTGGTTCATCGTGAGTGCCGATAGTTTTAATGGTTTCATCCGTCGTCGTGTTCGGCCCCTTCGACGACGGCTGCATTTCAAGGCGACCATCATCGGGTGTTATTTGGGGCGAGGCAGCTAACTGAAAAAACTTTTTCGACTCATTCAGCTGATAGTATTGCAATAAGAATTCAATCGTGGGTGTTTTACTGGAACTAAACGATGATTGCTGTGATTTCTGGGGATCTTCATGCTTTCGATAGTATTGTAGTAGAAAATCATAACTGCCACCTTTTTTTAACTCGCTCTGCTGATAGAAATTACTCAAAAATTCCAACTCCAATTCGGACTCGGTTGGCTGTGATTGATGCTGTTGCTGCATGAGGAATTGTTGCTTGACTTCGGCATTGGTTTCGTGTTGAAGAAAATATTGGAAAAGGAAATCGTATTTTTTGTGCGCAGTTTCAAAATCGTTCAACGTTGCCTCCTCTGGATTTGAGCTCTCGGAATATTTGCGCTTTTTGGCTGGCGGTGGCTGTGATTGATGCTGCTGTGATTGATGTTGTTGATGCTGCTGTTGCTGCTGTGCAGCCTGTTGCAGTCCTTGCAAAATGCTGCCAAAAGGCCCGTAGCTGGTTTCCCCCGGATTTGATTGATTAAAGAGTGCAGGACTCATCAGATGCATTAATTGATGCTCTCTCAGCAGTTCCAAATGATTGAACTGCAATTCACATTTGTCACACTCGAATTTGGGCAGACGCTGCTGCTGCTGTTGATGATCGAGGGAATTGCTCCTCTCTCTTTGCGGCGGTGTTGGTGTTGTTGATGGACTAAAATCAGTCAGCGACGAAGACTTACTAAACAAATGCTGTGGCGATGGCGAGGAGCCAAATGCTTGTGTCCCGGTTGAGTGTGCAGCTGCAGCAGCTGCCACAGCCACAGCAGCCACAGCTGCCACATTTGGTGAGAGTCCAACTGAACCGGCACCAGCAACTCCATGATGAATATCCATCGAGGAATTGGAATCCTCCGAGCTGAGATTATGGGCAATTTGTGCGGCGGCAATTTGTGCTTTGGCCGATTTTTTATTGTTCTCTTCCTTGAAACAGTGATTCTTCTGATGCCTTATCAGTTCGTAGTAGCGTTGGAAGACCAGGCTGCATTTCTTGCAGGCATAATTAATATTTTGTTTTTTGGTCTCCTCACTTTCGTAGAGCGAATTATTTGGTTGGTTTTCGTAGATTTTGCGCTGTTTTTGTCGCGCATTCTGAAACCAAACAACAATTACTCGAGGCGAGAGCAGCAGTAGTTTGCTGAGATATTCCAAATCACTGTCCTTGGGATACGAATTGTTCTCGAAGAACTCCTGCAGGACCTTGATTTGATAGTCAGTGAAACGAGTGCGATTCGCACGTTTGCCACCCGATGTGGAAGATGATGAATTTGAGGAATTCGAAGAGTTACTTTCGAGCTGATTGCAAGCCGATGAGGAGGAGGATATTAAGGTTGAAGTCGAAGCGATTTTCTCAAAGGATTTACCCGATATTTGCAGTTTCTTTGGTGGACCCATATTGCTGCCCATATTCTCCAGCTGCTGACTGAGCAAATCATTCATGCTGCTGTAAAGATTGCTGGCTACAACACTATTTGGTGTCGGAGGACGAGAAAGGACATCGGAGCTGCCACTCTCCGACTTTGTCTCATAGCTATTGATTTGTTGAGTTTGTTGCTGCTGCTGTTGTTGCGATTGTTGCTGCTGCTGTTGGTTTGTGTACAACTGTTGCTGCTGTTGCATGGTTTGATCATTTTGACTGCTTGCTGTTTCGTTTGCCTCATTTTGTTGCTTGAAATACTCGAAGACTTCATCTTGCTTCTTGTGGAATGCGTAATTGTTGTCATTGTCATTTGGCTCCGTTTTTATTTGCACCTCCAACGGCAATGGCAAACAAAGTATTTCCTCCTGTTCCTGTTTGGCGTTCAATAGTTCGCTTTGTGTCTTAAAATAATCGGATATGTTGCCAGCACTCGAATTGGCTGACGTTGGGCGGGATATATTTGAAATTGTCGTTGACAAATTTAAATTGCTTTTAACTGATGTTGTTGCTGCAATTGTTGGTGTTGTTGCGGTTGTTGGTGTTGGTGTTGCTGCTGCCGCAGCAGTGTTGCTGCCAGCGGCTGCAGCAGTAAGGGTAGTCTCGATTAGGGGCGTCACCTTTGTTTGGCCAGTGCGTTCATATTCCTCAATATTGAGCGTAGTTGATGGAGGATTGTTGAAATTGTAGGGGGAGTCTTTGTTGCGTTGCCGCTCCTTGAACAACGTGTTGCGGAACCAATGCTTGACGACCTGCAATATAATTAAAGGGGTTAATTGTTTTAGCAAAATTTAATTAAACCGACAGAGATTTATGGAGATATATCTGGATTAATTGTGGGTACTGCATTATTTAACATTTTAAAAATTAAGTTCAAGTCTCAAATTTAGTAAAATTTAATTTCAGAAAAAAATTCATCTAAATTTTAATAAGTTACCAAAAAATTAAAATTGGAATGAAATGTTTTTGTTTCCTTTTTTGTAGAAATAATTTTTAAATATAGAACGACTTTATATTTTTAGAAATAATTTCTAAATATAAAAAAAAACGTTATAGTTTTTTTTAGTAATAATTCCTAAATATTAGAAAAAACATTTTTAAAATTTAGAAAGGATTGCCTTAAATCGAAAATCTCAAAAATTTAAGAATTTTTTTTTTTTTTTTTTAGGATTATTATTAAGAAAAATATTTCTAGAAAGTAGAAATGAAAATCTTAGATTTTAGAAAAAAATCCTTTAATTCGAAACCCCGTAAAATCGTTTTTTTCAATGAATTTGAAATATATATGAATTGTAAAAATTATGTAAAACGTAATCAAAAAAACTAATACAAGATAATTAGACATAGTATTCTAAAATTTCAATTTTTTTTTAATGAGTTTAGGCTACTGTATAATATACCATTATAAAATTAACCATCAACTTCCCTTTAAATTATAATAAGTAGTGAATAAAATTATGGTATAATTTCTTTCTCAATTTCTTCTCAATGTCTTTTACAAAGGCTTGCCATAAATCGACAGTCATAAAAATATGGTGATTTTTAATCTTTTTTCTCCTGGTCTGAGAACTTGTGGGATGGTTCGGATGGGGCTGAGCTGAGGCCACCAGGCGGGTCGCGGGTTGCGGATAGCGAACGGCCTCCCCTCGGGGAGGTTAGCTGCGAATAATACGATACTTTTCGTAAATAAGCAGTCCCGGACAAACAGCGGGTGCGATTATGCCGATCGCACCGACAAGGCGCTTGTGTCGCCGCCTTCTAAAGTATAGCCTCACACATCCCCCTATCTCCCCACAAAACTACCTACCACATCCTACCCCCTCATCTCACTCCGGGCCGGACTAAGGCGTTATTCGAACCGTGCCGAGAGTCAGCCTGGCTGGGGGCCCGGATTAAAACTAGCCCAGTATTTAACGGTGAGCTCAGGCAAATGGCGACCGTCTGTTCTAATTCAGCCTTACCCGGGTATTGCGGATCTCTGCCCGGGCGGACACTTACTTCTCCGCAGCTCGTGGGATTCCATGAAAAAGTTACAATATATAAAGATATCGCAGGATCTCCCTGCGGAACTTGTCGCAAGACAATTAGAGGGTCATATCCCTGACGGAGAACGACCCTTGCGTGTGGTAGACAATCCTCCACACCGTGCTGCTCCAGCAACAAATAGGAGAGTGCCACGGGCACGAGAAACTCCGGCTGTGAGGCATGGGAGACCGATGGCTGGTACACTCAGACCACCGCACCCAACACCGAACAGCGCGAGGCAAGGCGCTCAGCGCCCAAAGAGGAAGGGAGAGCTCCTGCCACCAAGGGGTCAACCCGGTGGGCTGGATGACCCGAACCGGAGAAATCTCTGCGGTTCAAGGGTCAAGTGGTACCTCCGGTACCTCCAGCAGGGACTCAACCCCGATGAAGCCCTGAAAAAGGCCAAAGAGCCCAGGGAGGAGGTTGCAGCACCCGCGCCAGCCTCGAAAAGGCGGAGCAGCAGTCTCACACCTCCGGTGGCCACCCCCAAGAGGATGTGCCCGGGGGTTGTGGGCGCTGCCCGCGGCTCGGCAGCGGCAAAGGTGCTGAAGAACAATGGGGCAGGTAATCTGGACCTGCGCCCAAGCACATCGCGTGCAGCGGCCACGAAGCCCAGCTCGCCGACACCCACCGAGCCTCGCCTGTCCTATGCAGACATGGCAAAAAAGGTAAAGGTGGCTGTGTTGCCCGTGGGCTTCCCAAGGGTCATGCTCAGTCACGGAGATTTATCTGTGTTGGAAGAGGTCATCATTGACGAAGTCAGTGCGTCTGATGGAGATGTCGCGGTCTCATTCGTGGGCATTCACTTCCGGGTTGGATTCCTGGTAATTGAATGCTCCGATGAGACCTCAGCCGATTGGCTAAGGATTGCAACTTCGAGGCTACAGTCGTGGAAGGGCGTGCCCCTTGAGTGCAAGGTGGGGGACGACATACCGTCGCCCCACTGCATCACGCTGTTCTGCCCCAGGAGTGCAGCTCGGTCTACCGAATCCCTGTTGGCTCTGCTGAGGAACCAGAACAGGATCGAGACCGACACCTGGAAGGTGATCTCCAGGAGGAACGAGGGTGGAGGAGCCCTCCTGGTGATCGGGATAGATGAACTATCCAAGAATGTTATTGTGGAGAAGGGGCACCAGGTCTTCTTCCGTTATGGGACCATCCCCGTAAGTGGACTGAAGAAAAAGAAGACTGGAGAAAGGCCCCAACCTGCTCCAACGGGCAGAGAGGATGTCTCGGTGGGCAACACCACCACATCGGACACTCCTGCCCCGGAGCAGGGCAGTCCGACTGCGCAGCCCACCGACCCGTCGGAGGACCTCGCAGATGACGAAGAACTGGCAGATGCGACGCTCTGCCAGGCGGAGATGCTGGGGGACGACGATATCCCCATGTCCTCGCAGGAGCTGGAGGAGGAGCTGCAGGATGCAGCTGAAGCTGACGTCACTATGACGAGCAGCGGTGACGGGGACTGCTCCAGGCCCCATTCACCGTGTCAGCTGGAGCCTCCCCAAAAGTAGATGTCAAATGTCATCAACACAGGGCTAGCCCAGGTAAACATCCACCGAGCTAAGGCAGCCTCGGCGGTCTTAGCAAGGATGTTTACCAACAAACACCTTGGGCTGGCCCTGGTACAGGAGCCGTGGGTGAACGATGGCATCAAGGGCCTGTTCACAGTCGACTCAAAGGTAATCTGGGATCGGAGAGATCCAGCACCCAGAGCTTGTATCATGGTAAGGAAAAGTATTAACTTTACTATCCTTTCAGAATTCCTGACTAGAGACTGCGTTCCCTTACTGGTTTACACCAAGGGCAGCGCGGTCTCTATGGTTATCGTATCCGCATACTTCGCAGGGGATGCACCCTGCCCGCCACCAGAGATCGAGAAGCTGGTGGAGTACTGCAGAAAAGAAAAGATGCCGGTGCTCATCGGATGCGATGCCAATGCGCACCATACTATATGGGGCAGCAGTGACATCAATCTAAGGGGTGAGTGCCTAACTGATTTTATTTTCAAATATAATCTAGAACTAGGTAATGTCGGATCTACACCGACATTTGTCACCAGGATCAGGGAAGAGGTGCTAGACATCACCCTGATCAATCGGTCCCTAAAGCCTCACCTTAGGGACTGGCATGTTTCCCAAGAGGAATCCATGTCTGATCATAGGACTATCCTATTTAACTTAAAATTAAATACGGATAGTAGCACACAAAGTCGCAACCCTAGAAAAACCAACTGGGAAGGGTACAAGTCGACCCTAGGACTTTCCCTAGCCAACGGGCTGTCTGGTAATCCCAGAAGGCCGCTAGAGCTTGACAGGGCTATTGGTTACCTCAATAAATGCATAACCAAGGCATTTGAGGATAACTGCCCGGTAGGGAAAAAGTACATGGAAAAAGATGCCCCATGGTGGAACGACAGCCTAGAAAGGCTGCGCGTGACCACACGTCGCCTCTTCAATAAGGCAAAGAGGGACGGAATATGGGAGCAGTACCGTGAGAGCCTGACCTCCTATAATAAGGAGATAAGGAAGGCCAAACGGAAGAATTACAGAAACTTCTGCGAAGGCATAGTTAGCACAAGCGAAGGCGCCAGGCTCCATAGAGTACTGGCGAAACGAGCGCCTGATGCGAACTTAGCACTGAAGCGTGGGGATAACTCCTTTACGAGCACTGATCTGCAGAAACTAGCATTACTCTTCGAGACACACTTCCCAGGAAGTACACCCCTGCAGGAAGAGGCTATCGAGAGGGAAAGTAGATACAGGCCGTCAACTGACGACTGGGCATGCGCCAAGTCGACAGTCTCAAGGGAGAGACTTAATTGGGCAGTTGGAACATTCCAACCCTATAAGTCCCCTGGAATGGACGGCATATCGCCAGCCTTCCTTCAAACGGGACAGGAAATACTTCTCTCCCGTATTAGGAAAGCATTAGTAAGTAGCCTAGCCCTCGGATACATACCGGGCGCATGGAGAAGAGCTAGGGTAGTCTTCATCCCCAAGGCAGGGAAGAAAGACATTACCAGCCCAAAGTCCTTCAGACCCATCAGCTTAACATCGTTTTTACTGAAAACGTTGGAAAAGCTGGTGGACTATAAAATCAGAAGCACTTTGCTTAAGCAAAGGCCGCTGCACCCAACGCAGCATGCATACAGAGTAGGCAGGTCCACGGACACAGCACTTTATCAGCTGCGACGTACTTTGAGTGCGGCAATTGATAATAAGGAAGTAGCACTGTGCGCCTTCTTAGATATAGAAGGTGCCTTTGATAACACATCGCACGATGCAATCAATGCTACTCTTGAAAGAAGAGGCCTGGACCATACCACCAGCAGATGGATAATGGCACTGCTACGGTCCAGACAAGCCACGGCATCATTACATGATAGCACTGTAACAGTCCTAACCACCAAAGGCTGTCCCCAAGGGGGGGTGTTGTCTCCGCTACTCTGGAGTCTGTTAGTAGACGAACTACTAAACAGACTTGCCAACAGTGGTATTCAATGTCAAGGTTATGCCGATGACATTGTTATCATAGCGCGAGGCAAATTTGAAGAATCACTCTGTGACATAGTCCAGTCAGGGATAAGGATAACGTATGACTGGTGTAGGGAGGTTGGACTCAACCTAAACCCTACGAAAACAGTCATCGTTCCCTTTACCAGACGGCATAAGTTACAGAGGATGAGACAAATATGGCTCTCAGGGACCCTACTAGAAACAAGTAGGGAGGTCAAATACCTGGGAGTCACTTTTGACAGCAGACTTAACTTTGGCACCCATGTGCAAAACACGATATTAAAGTGCTCCAGGGCGCTTTATGCATGTCGTAGTATTGCCGGCAAATCATGGGGAACATCACCAAAAATATTAAGATGGCTGTACCTGATGGTAGTAAGACCCATGTTAACCTATGGGGTGGTTGCATGGGGTGACAGGGCGCGGATGATCACCGTGAAGAAACAACTACAAAAGTTGCAAAGAATGGCCTGCGTATGTATGACAGGAGCTATGCGCACCTGCCCTACAATGGCCCTTGAAGCCTTAATGGAGCTCACACCACTCCACCATATCATAAGGCTCAAGCAGAAAGCTACGCTTCTCAGGATATCAGCAGAAGGAGTTGGGGGCAACCATATCCTAAGCCACAAGGATGCCCAACTCCTTTCAAACGAACTACCCCTACTGACGCAACCTAGGGACGAAATGGCAGCCGAATACATATTCGAGCGAAATTTCACAGTTCGTATGAGTAGTAAAAGGGAATGGACAACTCTGGATGAAGTCCATCCCATGAAACCGCACACCATAAAATGGTACACCGATGGATCACTCACGAATCAGGGCACCGGCCTTGGAGTGGTGGGTCCTCGGGTATTTTACCATGAATCCCTGGGAACGCACACCAGCATATTTCAGGCTGAGGTGTGTGCGATAGGGAGATGTGCGGACATCAACATAGAACGTAACTATCGGAATACGGATATATCCATCCTATCCGATAGTCAAGCAGCATTGAAAGCTATAATGGGGACTAAGATAACATCGAAGGTAGTCCATGAAGTTCGTTCAAAGCTAGACCTGCTCGGGACTCACAACAGGCTCACCCTACGATGGGTCCCGGGTCACAGGGACATAGCGGGAAACGAGGCGGCTGACAAGCAAGCAAGAATGGGGGCAGAAAGGCCCCTAACAGGACCAGAACCGTATTGTGGCATAGGGAGACACAAGGAGAGACAGAGACGGCATCAGAGCTGGTCAGAGGCAGTAGGACTCCGACAAGCCAGATGCCTCCTTGGTGGTTATAATCTTGTACGTTTTAAACAGATTATAACCATGGGAAAGAACAACCTTAGGATACTTACCGGTCTATTGACAGGACACTGTAGACTAAGGAGTCACCTGACAAAATTGGGTATATATAGTAGCGATCTCTGCAGGTTTTGTGAAAGAGAGGAGGAATCCTCGATGCACATCCTGGTAGAATGTGTCGCCTTAATTAGAAGAAGAAGCAGCATCCTAGGGGCGCATGTTTTGAATTACAAAGACATAGTAGACCTCAACCCAACAAAGATCCTCACGTTCGTAAGGGAGTTGGGGCTGATGGAAGAGCTATAGGCTCAGAAGGGGGCACAATAGATCAAATAGGTCGCGGTGCAGCTTCCCCCCTAATAATAATAATAATAATAATAATCTTTTTTCTAAAAAGTAGAAATGCGCATGCATTATTACAAATAATATTATTAGTATTATTGTTAATATGATTATAATTATTGTTATTTTTATAATAATTATTATTATTCAGTTACCTTCATTGGTAGATTTGCCTTTTGGGACATTTCCATGATGCTCTCCTCGCTGGGTGAATTGTTGATGTCGAAATGGGCTCGCAGGATCTTCAGCTGATCGTCTGTGATCCTGGTGCGAGCTCTCTTCTGATTGCTGGTTAGCTGTTGCTGGAGGGATGATATATATTATAGATATAACAACAGCTGAGATTAGCCTAAGCTTACCTGATTATTATTACTGGCTATATTCGATTGTGCTAGCATATTTAAACTACTTGCCTCGCCAGTTAAATTGGTTGTCTGCTGATTTGGGGCACATTTCTGTTGTTGCAGATCGGAGTTGCAACTGTTGGAGCTGCTTGGAGCAATGCCGTTGTTTTGTACTCCAACTGATCCGCTCGTGCCACCAGCAGTGGCGCCACCAAATATCAATGGCGGTGCCAGATTCATAAAATTCAAGGACATCAAATGATGGAATTGCATCAGATTTAACATATCCACGGGATTGATGGGCATGCCCGAAGCGGAGGCAGCTGCACTCAGCTGTTGCTGGATCTGTTGCAAGTTCTGCAAACTCTGCAAATGATTCATGTTGCCAAAGCTGGAGCCATGTTGCTGCTGTTGTTGCTGGTGCTGCTGCTTCACCTGCAACTGATGCAACTCCAGGGAGGACATCGGCAAAGATGGAGCATCTGCTGTTCCTGCTGAAGACGTCGCCTGACCAACTGCATCCTGGTGATGATTCTGCTGCTGCTGTTGCTGCTGTTGCTGCTTGAGTAGAGCTGCTGTCAGCACTGCAAAATGCTGCTGTTGCTCCGAGGTTGGCTCCTCCACCTCATTGGGCGACAACACAGCGGAGGTCGGCTCCAGCTGCAGCTGCGTCGATTGGGCAGATTGCTGCGGCGATTGCTTCACAGCGTCATTCGTTTTGGCAACTGCAAATGGAAAGCGATTCACTTAGAATGTGGCATCTTATGGATGGGTTAGCTTAGCCTATTTACCTACTGTCTAGCAAAGTGAGTCGACATCAAAAAGAATACAGAAAGTAGTAAATAAATTATATTAAATTAAAAATAAAATTTAAAATTAAATTTAAGCTTAAAAAAAATATATATGTATTTATAAGATTTATGTAAAATAAACTAAATAAAAATATATTTAACTGCTGGAAAAGAACATGGTAGTCATAGCAGTCAGCTTTCGTATTAAATGTTAGCATAAAAAAGAATTCTGGGGACATTTAAGTACAAAATAGAGCAACATTTGTTGCATGAATTGGGATTTAGTTGAGATACTTGTCAGGATGGAAGGAAAATTCCAATGCTACCCCAGTAGAATTCATGCTCAAGTCTAAAATTTAATAATATTTAATTGCTAACCAGTACTGAGTTTTATATCTTCAATCTCTATGGGGTATATACACTGAGAGTAAATTGACCTAAAGTTTTTCTATTTCTTATAAATAATTTCCGAATATTAGACAAAAAATGTATATATTTAATTCATATTTTATATTTAATGATCCAGTTACATCAGTTAGCAGGTTGCAACAGTCTGTACTCATTTTTGATGCGGTCTACCAATAAAGGGGTCAAATCTTGCCTAGAATCGACAGGCGTCTAATCCAAGCCAACTACTTAGACACATTAATTATTCAGTTAGCTCAGTTAAGTTACCTGATTCAGTCGTCCTGGCCGTGGATAAGTCAAAAGCGTTAGGTTCATCCGGTAGTGTTGGTAATATCTTCTCCATGTCGGTAGTGCCAGTGTAATTGGGCGACATTTCGCGGGGACTGCCACTTGTGGCACTAGCAACAGCAGCAGCGGTGACACACTCCGCTGAATGAGCCTGTTCCATGTGCTTCTGCAGGGCCTGGGTACTGCGAAAGTTGCGTTGGCACAGCGAGCACCGTGTAGCGTCCCGCATCGTGTGGTACAGCATGTGTGTGGTGAGTTTCTCCTGCGTTTTAAATGCCAGCGAGCACTGCTTACAGCGATACTTGTAGACGTGTCGCTCTGAGATGACCAGGCTCATGTGTGTGTCCTTGAAATGGGCTATCATGGCTGGTAGTGTTGCAAAGCTGGCAAAGCAGGCACGGCTCAGCAGGCAAATGAATTCGCCATTTTGCAGTGGGAAGTGTTGGGTTTGCTGGGCATGCTGCAGCAGTTGCTCCTCGTGCTTGAAATTGGCCTCGCACTGCTGACAGCAGACACCCTGCATGCCACTACCGACAACAACTGTTGCTCCTCCTCCTGCTGGTCCTGCTCCACATGGTGTTAGATAGTCCTCGCCAATTACCTTACTCTCCTCCAATTTCCGTTCCTCACCCGATTTCTTCGCGGCGTGCCAAGCTGTTTGATCCACCAATTGCAGTAATCTAGCGAGGCCATCTCTCGTCACGCTGTGCACATTCATCAGGTGGGTTTCCAGCGATGGTTGCTCGCTGTAACCGCTCTCCAGGCAGAGCGGGCAGGAGACACCCGCCTGTGGCATAGATTCACTTTTGGGCGAGCAACTTTTTTTGGGATTAGACCCCTCGGTGTCCTGGACACCAGTTGTGGCATATTCACTCTCCTCCAGCCGTTCACGCTTTATATCAATGGGACCATCGCTATCTTCATCGCCACCAGGCAGTTCTACATCTGTTCCCGTTCCCTTTCCCGGTACAACTCCTGTTCCCGGTATGGTGCAACGTTGGACGGCTGCCATTGTCGCCGCTGCCACAGCTGTTTGGAATGCTTGTAGCGCTGCTGTGTTCGTTGGTATGCTTATGTAGTCATCACTGTCTGCCGTCGGATGCAAGCTCAAAATATGCGTCTCCATTTCCTTCTTGGATTGCACAAAGTATTCACATAGATTGCATTTGAAGACGGTCGTCTGCAACTCGCTGACAGTTGGCAAGGGGGATGCCACATGCGATTGCACCTTGCCACATGTTGTCGAACAGCTCGAGACGGAGGCGGGCGAATAGATGTTGTGACCCTCGTTGGGCATGCCACCACCAACAGCACTACTAGCAGCAGCAGCAACTCCATATCCCGTCTCGGTGCTGGGTGCTCCAACAAGGCAACTAGCAGCCGCCAGATTTAGGCCACAATCGAAATTGCCATCTGAAATTGATAGATCAAATTGCTTGTTAAACGATGCTCACTAAATTGGACTAAACTAAACTAAACTAGTCAGATTCTGTGTAATATGATGATTAAGTGGAGGAGTCCTAAGAATGTCTCGGCTGATTTTGTTTCCCAAATATTCTAGTGCTATAAAATATATGTATAGTCGCTTTAATAAGTAAATTAATAATTTATAAAAATAAACAGATTACTTAAAATATTTGATGCGTCTTAGTTAAATAAATGTTCTCCATTTAAACTGCTCTAAGTGTTGGGTCATATCATTTTATCGAAGCTCTTCTCACGTTGTTGATAGACTGAATAAAGTAAATGATTTAGGTTTACTACTTGATCATAGGTACAAATTCAAAAGTCGTTTTAGATTCACTATCAACAAAGCTTTTCAAGTTCTTGGTTTTATTATGCGTTGGTCAAAGGAATTTGATGACCCTTATATGACCCAGATCATTTTCACTTCTCGTGTACGTTGAATTCTAGAATATGGATCTTGTGCATGGTCTCCGCAATATCACATTCATCAAAGTAGATTTGAATCTGTGTAATCTCGTTTCGAGTACTCTGTAATTATTACAACAGACACTATTACGTAATCAATTCAGAGTCCTCCATTTCTATAATTAAGAACTCCATTTTAAACGCCCCATCTCGTGGGTCTTAACTAATTCATACTAATTATTATTTGCTCTGATTGGGTTTTTCCTGGGGTTTCCTCAATTCATAAAACAAATGCTAGATCATTTTGCATTTAAATACCCCCAGAAATCTTATAAATATTTCTTATAAATTTTAAATTATTATATAATTTTATATTTGATTTCAAATATGATTTAATTAAATTTGTTACTCTTTGTATTTTTTATGTTGACTGAATTTAATTGACATTAAATAAAATAAATATTTAAACAAATAAATTAGCTCTGTAATAAAATAAATAAAAAATTATCAATTTTATTAATAATTGAAATGTTAGTTTCAGTTAAATTACTATATGAACAATTAAAAGGGCAGTTTAAGTATTTCATTAATTTACTCTCTTCTCTCTCTCTATCTTTCACTCACTCTCTCACTCTCTCTCTCCATCTCTCTCTCTCTCTCTGTCTCTCTCCAAAACTGATAACAAGCATTAGTCAATGACCTGTTCGTATATAAGTTCGCACACACACACAGTCACACACAGACAATGGTTTCTTTTTGCGTACAGATTAATAATCCTGTGAGAGACCCCTTTGGCTAATCAATGCCTTTGATAATAGGAACAACCACAACAAAAGCGAGCGAAACGCAGCCAGAACAGAACATAAACCAGGCACAGACTCTGGATTCCCTCTGCTCCCTGCTCAAGCTCTGCCTGCTGCCTGATCCCAGGTCTCACAATATGGGTCTTTTGGGTCTCAGTCTCAGGCCTTGGTGTTGACGCTAGCCTCAGCTGCGTACAGTTAATTCCAAGCAAGGGTGCAGGCAGCAGAGCCAGGCAGCAGAGACAGAGACAGGCAGCGTTGATGCGACCAAATGCGAATATATTTCAAATTCCATTACCAATTTCAAAGCAATTTCCATACAGCTTGATTGCATCGAATTAAAAAGCCGACAAAAAAAGAAATAAAAAGAAAATCAAGACCATAGCCTCGGTCATGGCGTTCTTCTCTTCGATGCGCAGGAAAATGAGCTTACTTAGACAGAGAGAGATATAATAAGAGAGAGAGAGAGAGAGAGAGAGAGAGAGAGAAAGAAAGAGAGGGGTGGGAAGAGGGGGGGGGATAAGCAAACTGATATGTGCTTGGGCATTTGTGGTGCCCCTTTTTGTTACTGCAATAATCATGCGCAGCTGTTCCCAGCTGCCACTTGCCAGCAGTCGCAGGGTAACCAGCAACCAGCTCAAAGAACCATCTTCATCATCCGCAAAAGACGCCAACACCAAAAACCAAAATAAGCGAAAACCGCGCACTAATATATATATATATATATATATATATCGACTAGTACATACCCTTTAAGCACAAATAAAAACATTTAAAAAATAAACTGTAAATAATATCTTTCATACCATATATAAAATGTAAAAGACAAATGGAGAACTCATTAGTAAAAAATAATAAAGGAAAAATTACTTTACTTATAACATTTATTTTAATTAATATCTTTTGAATTAATTTTTCCCGTTTGATATATATTTATTTAATTTAAATTTAAAAAAAAAGTAAATAATATCTTTCATACTTTGTATATAATTAAAAAAAAGGACGTAGAATAAAAAGGAAAAAATTACTTTACTTGCAAAATATTAATATATTTTGTATTAATTTATATCTTATATATATGTTTATTTAATTACAAATTGAGCTTCTACTCAAAAAGAAAACATGTACTTTATTTCAAAAATATACATTATTTAATAAAAAGAAAAAAAAATACACTTTTTAATAAGGTAAATACTAAGCAATAATAAATAAAATATATATTATAAATTATTCATTTTTCGCATTTTAAATATATTTAAATAAATTTATAAGAATTGGCAGTAAAAAGATATAATTTATTTTATATAAAATATATATTTTATTTATTATTGCTTAGTATTTAAGCAGAGATTCCAAATAGCTTAGGGGCTACGATATGCATGTGACTAATTTACACTTCTTTTTTTTGGCAATGCTTGAGGGGTTTTGGCTATACAGAAGAGCGAAGGAAAAACAGTCTAACAACAACAACAACAACAACAATACAAACGTTGGCAAGCAGAGGCTCACAGGCTCACTTACAGGATGACTTAGTTCTTTTTTTGAACAGCAGTTAAGTTGGTTTTAGTAAGCCACACAAGTCTATGCTGCGATCAATAATGTCTTACTTTTTAATATAATATCAACGAATTTCACGTTCCAGCATAATAATTAAATTTCTGTAATTTAAAAATTAAATTAAATTAATTTCTTTTGTGTTGACTGATATTAGTCGATATAAAATAAATAATTAAAATAAATAGTATAAATATTGTTAATATTTCTTATTTATGTAATTTGATAATTCAATTGGATTAAGTTCTTCTTCTGTGTTGACTGATACTATGCGATATTAAATAAATATATACATTTTAAATACATAAATAAATAGTATATAAACCCACGAAATCATGTAAATATTTCTTATTTGTGTAATTTGTTGACTGATAGTAGGCGACACCTAATAAATAACATTATAAATAAATTATCTTTGTTTTAATTTAAATAATTGTTAAATTTAATTCCAATTTTTTGCTTCCCGACTGATGGTAGTCGACATTAAATAAATCAAAATAAATGAGAATATATTATACAGCATATTGTATAGTTTATAGTTTATAGGAGGGCACACAAAAGAGACCGTCTAAATGACCGACACAAAAGGTTATATCGCTTAAGGAAGACGAAAAGCAGAAAGCCAGAACAGATCGCAATTACAACTACAAAACGAGAAACTCAATTTCTGCTCCTCAAAATATAACAGGGCCAACACATAGAGAGAATAAATACAAAACTAAACTCAGAGTCTCGACTGAAGACTCGAGAAGAGGGAGAGGAAAGGGAATGGAAGCGTTTTGTCAATTTTGCATATATAATGTTGCAACAACACGCTGTAGAATGGAGTATGGAGCCGTGCGGCATATGCAATTATATGTATACCCTGTAGATGTAGATGGGGGTGTAGTGAGTGGAACAATTCCAAATCCAGATATGCAGTCTCTGTATGTGTGTGTTGTGTGTTGTTGTGTCTCTGGTTAGGGTCTCTGAGCTCTGATACTCTGTGGTTATGTGCGATGCCTGCGGTTCCGAACCACGCTCAATGCCGCATCTTGTATCTGATATGAGAATATCACACTGGCATTGCTTGCCTTGCTTTTTTTTCTTTTTATTTTTTCATTTTTTGTATCGGCAAGCTGGAATGGACTTTTTAAGTTGTTGTGTGTGTTGAGGTTGGAGCAACAGCAAAGTGTGCACGTCACTAATTGCAAATTCGATGGATACATATAATCGTTTTTGCATTCTTAAGTAATTTGTAATAATTTCCTCAAGGGTCAGCACAGCGTCAGCGTATAAATCTCACAGCGCATATAAATCGCAGCAAGGGCAAAAAAAAAACAACATGAGAAGAGCGAGAATTGCAGCCAAGAATTTACTTACGCAAACGAGACAGCGAATCACAAAGAGTGTGAGTGCGAGTGCGAGTGTGAGTGCGAGTATGAGTTCGACTTGGAGTTGAAGTTCGAGTTTGGGTGCGCGAGAGATACGCGACGCAAAAGGACGATAATAATCGAAGAGTAAGGAACTAAAAAAAATGCGAGATGAGACGAAACGAAACGAAACGAAAGAAATTGAACTGAAATCAGCGCTTAATGATGAGTTACGAATCCGCAGTACAGCAGAAGAGTGACCATATTACAATGTATATGCCCTCATGTACTTAAGCAACAGCAGACCTCAGCATCGAGACTATATATATATATATATGAGGATGCGAGTGAGGTAAGTGTGTGGTGGATGATTTTAAATGCCTCGATATACATATTTGTTACTATTATTATTATTATTATTATTATTATTATTATTATTATTATTATTATTATTATTATTATTATTATTATTATTATTATTATTATTATTATTATTATTATTATTATTATTATTATTATTATTATTATTATTATTATTATTATTATTATTATTATTATTATTATTATTATTATTATTATTATTATTATTATTATTATTATTGTTATTATTATTATTATTATTATTATTATTATTATTATTATTATTATTATTATTATTATTATTATTATTATTATTATTATTATTATTATTATTATTGTTATTATTATTGTTATTATTATTATTATTATTATTATTATTATTGTTATTATTATTATTATTCCTATTTTGTGCAATAAATATATTCATCGATATTTCTATTTATACATTATGTATGTATATATATTTTAAAATACCTTTAAAATAATAATAGTTCACACAGAAAAATATTAAAAGTAGCAAATAAATTAAATTAAAAATAAAATATAAAATTTAAATTTAAATTCAAATAAGAAGAAATATTTTGAAGATTTCTATTGATATACAGTGTCTCAGACTTTATTTCAACCCGTGTTTAGCAAAAATGTTAATTGCATGGCATAAACTAATTATACAATATTTTTCAAAAATTCCAAAGACCGATGGCAGGTACATATATTAACCACCAAAATGAATAAATGACCCCAATAAACTGGGGTTTCCACACCTGTTGGGTTATGTAAAAAAGTACCTTAATTTATGGTCACATATTATTTGGAACAAGGGCGTTATGATTATTTTCGGTTTAAATAGTCAATCCTTCGTAGTCAGTTTAGTTATATCCTGCATATCGGGTGCAACCAGACAGCAAGGCCTATGGCTCCAAAACTGTCTCAATACGTGCAGGATGAAATGAAAAAGTGCAGTGTGGAAACGGTGCGCCAGGTTCTGCGCAACCATGACTTCAATGCAAAAATAAAGGAACTAGGATGACGTTCGCCAAAACCCAATTGGACAAGGATTTGGAGATCTGAAACACAGCCATATTTGAAGATGAGTGCACATTCAACATTTTTGGCTCGGACAGAATTATGTGTGGCGACAGTCCAATACTGAGCTGAATCCCAAACACCAGGCTACAGTGAAGCACGGCGGAGGAATTGTCGTGGTATGGGCATGTATCTCGGCAGCCGGCGTCGGGAATTTGGTGTTTATTGAAACAACAATGTTCAAGAAGTTAGGAATCCGACGTACAACGACCCGAAGCATAAGTTCGGAATAGTACAGTCCTGGATTATCTGGAACTGCCCCCACATGATAATTCCACAAGCCCAGTCTCCAGACTTAAATGTTATTTAAAATTTGTGGGCTCTGCTGGAAAATACCATACGGAATCACAGATCCGATCTCAAGAATGCTCTGCTGGATGAGTGGAGCAAAATCAGTCCAGAAACGACCCGGAAGCTGGTATCTTCCATTAATAATAGTAATAACTTCCCTATATTAAGGATATCTTATTAAGTATTAACATCCTTATTTAAGCTTTTATCCGCCAAATATGTTACTTTTTTAAGACTGTTCGAAATAAGCTTTGACATGTATTTTGGATATGTTTTCAGTTTTTGACTAATTTTAGTTAATTAATTAATAATTTAGTAAAAACTGAAGTTGATTTTTCAAACGTGGTATAACATGAAACAGATTGGCATTTAAATATTTTGTGTTTGTTTCTTTGTTTAAACTTTATAACACTTTAAATTTTTTGCCAGGCACTGGTCGAAATAAGGTCTGAGATACTGTATATTTATTTATTCCTGTTTATGTATTTAATTTTTAAATATAAACATAGAGGACTCTGAATCATTACAGAGTAGTCGAATAGTAATTATTAGTACAGCGATTAAGAAAAAGTTTGGAGAAGTACGGGGGGTGGAGTGTCTTTTCCTTATAAAATTGAAATTTAAAAAATTGGTTTGCTCCACAAAAGTTAGATGTTTTAAGTACACGTCAAATTAAAAAGGAATTAAATTTCTAATTTTAACATTTATTTTTTTATTTTTGTTGTTTAAAGTGAGGTTAAGGTGCCAAAGGCAGTGCTAATAAAATTAATACAATATGTAGAAATACATGAAAATAACAAATTAATAAAGTGTTCAGCCTCTGTATTTGATTTTAACTAAAATAATTCGATTTGACATCGATTCATCAACTTTTTAGAACTCAGATAGTTGGATTTTGGAACATTCCTTAACGACTGCCTTCGCAGCTGCTCAACAGTCTCAAACTGTCGATTACTTAAACTCGATGTCTCCACATGTTATCTATGGGATTGTATGAGTGTATATTTATATAGATTGTAACAGTAACTACTAAAACATCTCCCCATGTATCCGTATGCTATGCTACAGCGAATATAGAAAACCTTGTTTAAAAAGCGATTTGTTTGTATTTGTTGCTGCTATATTTTATACTTTTTAATTTGTTATTTTATATTATTATATTTATTATTAAGATTTTATTTTTATTAAAAGTTGTTAATCAAGCATTGATCGAAAGAATTTGACAATCCCTCAGTTTGTAAAAACATATTTATTATATTTAAAGATCACACTCAATCATCACACAATTTGTAAACCGACCGATTGTTCCTATACAAGCTATGTGTTATTGTAGTCTGGTATTAATGGATTTTGTCGAAATTTTAAAAGCATATAAGAAGCACATCTTTTGAGTTTTACGATCGACCGTTGCTGCGACGGCCATAAGATATAGTGATCTCGTACAGATATAGCTTAACAGCTTAAAGTGAGTTAACAGTGTGGATTTCAGATTTGCACTTCAAATACAAATTTCGCAATTTGTTTTACAACGTTTATTATGTGGAGTTATTCAATATTTTTAGCTTTTTTCGATCTTGGGCTTGGTATGAAATGTTTTAAGAGTTATATTATGGTTCCGACTTTCTAATATGAGTATGATTCTTGAATTGAAATTTAAAAATATTTAATAGTAATTAGATTTATTTTCCACTATTTGTGTCGAGCGATATTATGCGACATTAAATAAATAAATCAAATAAAGGGAATAAGGAATGGGAAATTAGAGTGAATATGGAGTACATACCTTCCGTGCTGCCAGGTATTTCTTCTGTCACCTTGAAGACCTCGTTGAGTCCGAGCATGTCCAGGTTCTCGCTCCTACGTTGCAGGCAAATGAACTGCTCGACTTGCAGGTGGCGCAAGCCCTTCACATGCTGCACCATCTCGTGCAGATTCTTGGCTACAAAGTTGCACAGCTGGCAGCAAAGGGCCTTCTTCGTCGACTGCTCCGATTGATCCGAGTCCAAGATGCCCAACGGCGGCGAAGAGCGCAGACGACTACGTTGGATGATGAGCAGCAAATGCTGGAAGATCATGCGCATTGTGTCGTGCCGCATTTGCTGAGTGTGGAGCGATAGTTTCTGTATGGAGTTGGTGTGGAAGTCGCAACAGTTGCACTTCAGCTGTACCACATTTGTGGCAAGCTGCGGCTGCTGCTGGTATTGCAACTTGAACTCGTTGCGTGCGCCACCCTCTCGAATGTGATTGATGAAATTCAGCTTCTGCAAATGCTTGTCCGTCTTGCTGTGCAGCTGAAAGTTCGCCTTCAGATTCGTCTTATAATTACACAGTCGACAAATATAGTTGTTGTTGTGTATGACCATTATATCCGACGAGGCACTCGACGATTGCCGCGATCGATCCAGGAGCAAATGCTGGTTCAGCTCATCCATGTTGTTGGTGCTGAAACAGTCGCAGATGAGGCAACTGAACATTGCCGTTGGCCACAGCTCCGGCAAACTGTCCGGATAGGAGTCGAGCGAATCGCTGGGGACTGTTCCAGACTCTGGAATGTTTAAGCCCATGACCATTCCAGGTGGCAATTTCAGCAGCTTGGGTGAGTACGAGAATGTGGCATGTGGCAACTGGTCGGGAGTGCTGACCGGCGAGGACGATGTGGGCGATAATTTGCTGGCAGCAGATTGCTGCTGCTGCTGCTGCTGCTGCTGCTGTTGCTGATTCTGCTGCTGTTGTTGCTGCTGATTGGCAGCATTGTGTTGAATGAGCTGTATCATCAGTGCCTGGTTGTAGGCCAAATCAGCGAGTGCTACCTCCGGTACGGGCAAAAAACTATTGCTAGCCGTACCCGGTACAGCTGCAGCACTTTGTTGCTGCTGCTGCTGTTGCAAGAAGTTGAATGCCTGAATGTGCTTGATGTTGTTCTGCAATACGGCCATGTTATGCGTGTGTTTCTCGCTCGTCATATGGATGCGTAAATTGCGTGCCACAGAGGTCTCATAGCTGCAGATGTCGCAGCGAAACGAGGGCTTTGGCTTCAGCGAGGAAACTCCCGTTGACGAACCCGTACCGGCACCCGAACTGGTACCCGAACCCATTGTACTGCTGTTGGATGCGTTGCTGGCATTGCTGACGGTGCCAGCACTACCGGCACTCGAGGAACAGACGCCGCCAACGGGTTGGTGGTTTGCAGAGACGACGGCATTGCTGCAACCACTTACAGAGCCTTGTGGCGATGGATTGGGCAACATCAGTTTCGCTGCCGCTGCAACGGCAACAATGTTTTGGGAACTGTTCAGTTCCTGCATGTTGTTCAGATGCTTATCGGACTGCATATGAATGGAGAGGTTCCCTTTGGTCGTCGTCGAGTAATTGCAGATCTCGCAGCGGTACGGCTTGTAGCCACATGAATAGGACTCGCCACGTGCCAGACGTGGATGTTGTTGGCCTGCAAAAGCCGGAAATTGTCATATATATATATATATATTAAGCAAGATTGCCGATTTGTACATAGAACGAGGCATGCAATTGATCTAGAATGTTCATTGTTGATCTTAACTAATTTATACTAACTATTTTTCTGTTTTTTTTGGCCTGGGTATTTTAGACAGTATCTGCATTTCAGATAGGGCTACGATTGATCCTAATTAACTTATACTAAATATTGGTAACAAATATTGAATAATTTGTCATTGAAATACGCCCAGAAATGTTGTAAATATTTCTTATTTTTTAATTTAAATTAAATTATTTCATTATATGTGTAAATTAATTTAATTTATTTGCCGACATTAAATCAATAAATAAATTAAATAATTTATTCTCACACAGCTTTATATATTTTTCTTAATATTCACGTGTCACTCATTTCAACAATAATTGTAATAAATTAATAGAAAAACTAAAATATTAAAAAAGTTAGAAATCTCTTCGAAGATATTCCTTATATAGGTATATACATATATATATATATATATATATTTATATATATATATATAGAGAAAATATATCTCACTTCTTTAATTTAAATTTAATTTTAATGTAACTATTCAATTTATTTTGTTATTCAACTTAATTTATTTTCTACACCTTGTACTTAAATAAAATACTGATAAAATAATTACTAAAAAGTGCGAAATCTCTTAGAAGATATTCTATATTTCTTACTTTTTTAATTTGTAATTCAACTTAATTTATTTTGTACACCTTGTACTTAAATAAGTACAGATATTTGTTTGATAGATTTTGTTTCAATTACCTGCCAAGCAATATCCACAGGCGCTCTCTCCATCGGGATGCTTCTCGCGCATATGGATCTCGAGTGTCTCCTGGTATTTGTAGTGCCAATTGCACTGGGGACATTTGAGTGTTTTGCAGGAGTTGCGGGTGGACATCTGGACACCGCTGTTGAGTCGCGCGGAGCTCAAAAGCATTTCGCAGCTGGCAAGAAAAAAGAAAACAAGAAAACATAAAAATTAAATACAAGCAGACACAAAATGGAGAAAAAAACCGCCCTCACTTGTTGATTTTTAAATTTAAAAAATCATATATATATATATATATATAGATATACAAAGCAGAGGCCATTTAAATACGGATAGCGATAACTACGATGACAGCAATCATACATTTAATTGAAGGGGCATTCATTTATAGGGGCTTGAATCTCAGCATAGGATACAATCTTCCAGTCCATGTGTGCCTGTGTGTGCGTGTGTATATACTTATCATAATTACTTAATTTGAATTCGAGAGCCCCAACAACACCCAATGGTATTTGTAGTAGTTATACACAATGGCGGTCGGTACTGTAGGGTGCCACAAAGTGTTGATGAAAGTTTATGATCCGGAGCCGGGCAGTCGTCAGCAGTAAATTGCGACAATTGAATCTGTATGTAGAATTTATGAAGTGAAATCAGCGCAATTGGTTTAATTTATTTTAGTTAAGCCGCCTCGCCCTTGCCAACGTCCGCCCGTCTCCTTTAGACAGCTCATTCCCATTCTCATTCTCCATTTCCAATTCCCAAATAATAAGAGTGCTTTTAAATGAGTTAATTTAGAGAAGCTCGCAGTGTAGTATGAACTTATATAAATACGTTTTTGTTGCGACTTATCTTGAAATCAAGCCATTTCAGATATTCATCGCTGTATATATATTTATATAGTGCAAATCAAGAAAGTAAAAAAAGATTGATGATCATTTTCAAAAATTTATCAACTTTTCCGAATTGGCCGTTGAACCTTATGAATCTTACAAATATATATATATATATATATACAGTGGCTTGCAGTTCATTTCGGGCAGTGTCTAGAAAAAATTTTAAAGTGCTATAAAGTTTAAACAAAGAAACAAACGCAAAATGTTTAAATGCCAATTTGTTTTATGTTATATCACGTTTGAAAAGGAAGCTTCAGTTTTTATTAAAATATTAATTAATTAACTAAAATTAGTCAAAACTTAAAACATATCCAAAATACATGTCAAAATTTATTTCGGACAGTCTTAGAAAAGTAACATATTTGGCGGATAAAAGCTTAAATAAGGATGTTAATACTTAGTATGATATCCTTTAGCCTTAATAACTCCCCTTAACCTATTATTCATGGAAGATACCAGCTTCCGGGTCGTTTCTGGACTGATTTTGCTCCACTCATCCAGCAGAGCATTCTTGAGATCGGATCTGTGATTCCGTATGGTATTTTCCAGCAGAGCCCACAAATTTTAAATAACATTTAAGTCTGGAGACTGGGCCTGTGGAATTATCATGTGGGGGCAGTTCCAGATAATCCAGGACTGTACTATTCCGAACTTATGCTTCGGGTCGTTGTACGTCGGATTCCCAACTTCTTGTACATTGTTGTTTCAATAAACACCAAATTCCCGACGCCGGCTGCCGAGATACATGCCCATACCACGACAATTCCTCCGCCGTGCTTCACTGTAGCCTGGTGTTTGGGATTCAGCTCAGTATTGGACTGTCGCCACACATAATTCTGTCCGAGCCAAAAATGTTGAATGTGCACTCATCTTCAAATATGGCTGTGTTCCAGATCTCCAAATCCTTGTCCAATTGGGTTTTGGCGAACGTCATCCTAGTTCCTTTATTTTTGCATTGAAGTCATGGTTGCGCAGAACCTGGCGCACCGTTTCCACACTGCACTTTTTCCCCATTTCGTCCTCCATCTGTGGAGTCAGTTTTGGAGCCGATAGCTTGGGGTTTTCCCTTATTTTCCTGATGATCCTCCACTCTTCCTGTCCGGTGAAAATCTGGTTTGGTGCATTTCTGCCCTTGTCCTCTATCCGATTTTCGTCGACGAAGCGCCGAATGATGTTGAATACAGTTGTGGTGCTTAGATTTACCATTTTAGCTATTTGGCGATGTGTATATCCAATCTTGAAGTGTTCCAGGATGAGATTCCGTTGCTCAATGGTAGTCCGTTTGTCCATAGTCCTTGTTGGCTGGTGGCACCCGAGATGCAGGATATAACTAAACTGACTACAAAGGATTGGTCTATTTATTCCAAAAATAATCATCCCGGCGTAAAAAATCCGTGTTTTATGGCACCCAGGTGTCCATAATGCCACTGCCCGAAATAATATGTAACCATAATTTCAGGTACTTTCTCACATAAACCCCAGTTTATGGGGGTCATATATTCATTATGGTGGTCAATATATGTACCTGCCACCGGTCTTTGGAATTTTTGAAAAATATTGGATAATTTGTTAATGGCAGGCAATTAAAATTTTTGCTAGACACTGCCCGAAATGAACTGTAACACACTGTATATATATATATATATTTAATATCATCTTTGTCTGTCAGTTATTTTAAACTATTTTTGCGTTGTCGACTGACTTTAATTGATAAATAAATATAATAAAGCAATATTTTTGCTGTATTAAGAATGATTAAAATTCTTCATATTTGATTTTTTTTATGTACGAAACTTCTACTTCTTAATTAAAGCTGTTTAAATTAAAAAATGATACATTTACAAAAAGTGAAAGTTTGCTTGAATTAAGAGTTTAACTTATTTGGGTTGTATTTATAATATTTATAACTACACCGCTTTTTGTTTAATACGTTCATCATGCAAATGAAAAAATATTAAGTATATTTCATATATAAATTTAAAAATATAAATGTAAATCCCTTACTTTCAAGAGGAATCTCTTGGCAGTCTCGAGTCGATTTATATCTTACATTTTACATACTCTCAGACTTTATCAATTGTTTTTCATTGTCAAATGTTCATTAAATTATTATTTTGTAATATTCTAAATTAAGTCATTTGAAATTTTCATTAAAAATGTTTTTTTTTTAAGATTGTGGACAAAAATGCTCAACTGAACCCTCCACGAGGGTGCTGACTGGTATCATCATCACAGAAGTCCGTAAGGCACTGATAAGATTCAGACATGGTCCTCCGATATTATCAAGCCTTATCATGTCTTAAAAGACAGGTGAATTTTGCAGTTTCCATAGCTTGTCTTTTAAGACATGAAAAGGCTTGATAATATCGGAGGTCGCCAGGTATTCGATATGCTCCGTAAACAGGAAAAGATGCAGCATCCTTGTGATGCATCTTATGAGTATGAGCTCAACCCAACAAAGATTCTAGCATTCGTGCAAGTGCTGGGTTGATGAAGCAGCTATAGGCTCAGAAGGGGGCACAATAGATCTAATAGGTCGCAGCGCAGGTACCCAAATTATAATATTAATAAAACGTCATTGCTCGCATAGCCCATCAAACATGGCTCAATATAAACACAAAACACAACAGAGAATTGTGTTTTCTTAGTCGCAGAAGCTGGTATGCAGTAATCTGTGCTATGACAGGACACTGGATAGTCGGAATCCACAGACTCGAGTCAGCCTATAAGGATTACTGCAGAAGATTTCTTCGGATTCTGCCCTGCATTCGCCTGGAAATTACTTGCTACCTTGGGTAGACCCTTCTTATCTAATCTTTCAGATCTGTCAGAGTTGGCAAAAATTGGAGCAACCAAGATTGTCAAGATTGCGAACTTCATTAGCGGAACGGGGCTGGATTTATCTATGATCAGTGTTTACACGAGCGCAGAAGAAATCCGAGTCAGATCCGAATATAGAATCTGATATTACAACCCGTCAAGCATGCCATACAGGTTGACAATCGTCTAACCTAAACTAACCTAAAAACCTATAAATCTATATCATATAATTTGAAATTGTAATTTTAATATAAAATGTTTATTTGTAAAAGTTTTTATTACAAATTTGTACTATATTTGAATATATATATTGCTGAATCGTAAATACATATCAAATTTCATTAATTTTTCAGTTGAGTCGAGATGGATGCTGGGAGGATTGATTCATGCTCGAATACAATCCTTATTCAGTTGAGTTGTTAATGTCTGATGCTGATGCAATCAATGTGATCCCACAAATTCGAATTAACAGGTCCCAAGGTTCATTTGCGTTTAAATGAACAATCGGCATACAGCCAGAGGCTGAGTCAGTCAGATACTGATGCGGATTCGGAACACAGACTGTGAAATTAGACTAATGAGTTATTGTATGGCGGTGGATAAAACCCCTGTGCCCTTACGTCCTACCAAAGTTCAAACGGCAGCAATAATTACGCATATTATAAGGCAGACTGAGCGAAACCCTTTTTTGCGCTCTCAGCACGTACACAAAACATATATACAGTTGCGGACAAAATAATAGTACTGCTGCTTCTCAAGGTATTTCATAGAAATATAACTCATTGGTGATCAAATGTGGCATGTTGCAAATCGAGACCTCTTCAATATCTCTTCAAAATAAAAAATGAGATAAATAAAAATATTTGTTTTTTTTTAAATACTATTACAATCGAAACTTGCCTGAACAACTCATGAAAAAGAGAGAATTGCTGTAGATCGTGTCTTAGGATACCTTCGTCAAATGCTACTATTATGAAGAAACCCTTGCAATGTGGCATCGAGTGCTGAGACCGTCTATAATAAAGACATATAATAAGCAAGTCGGTATTTAATTTTTGAGTTATATTTGAAATATTTTTATTAACATTGTGCAAAACATGTTTGTACCACTATTCTATTATTTTGCCCGCAGCTGTATATATATATATATATATATATAATATATATACATATATATATATATATGTATTTTGCACCCCTTGCAAATCTTGAGGACTACATCTGCCCCGGCTGTGGCAAGTAGTAGGTCAGACAGGGCCTGCAAAAACAAAACATAACCAAAAAAAAAAGAAATGGATAAGGATAAAAAGGAAACACCCCTAACACTAATGGCAATTGGCAACTGGCAACTGGCAAATGAAGCGCCGGCAGCACTTGCTTTCGTTTTCTCACGCTTAAATTGGTAATTCTACACTCGACTGATATATTATTCAGCCTCAGTTTTGTGTTCTTTGTTCTGTCTCATAAATTTGATTACATGGAGAAAATGGTATGAAAGCCTTTAGTAGCACTTCGTACATTCAGAACAAATCTCCACGAAATTTAGGAAATCGCTTTAGAAACTAGTTAGTTTTTCCAGTTTTTAGAAATACTTTCTAAATATAGGAAAACATTTTTCATAAAATTAGAAAGAATCAAATATCCCAAAGGTGTGGAGTTCTTCTTATCTATTTTTAGAAGTATTTTCTATTATAAAAAAAAATACATTTCTAATAATTAGAAAAAAATCCTTTCTGAAATTAAAAATGTTGTTATGACATTCTTCTCTTGTCTGCTATAATAGAGCTAAGCCGTTATATACCTTAATAAACTTGGTTAATGTTTAATAATAATATAAGTAACAATAAAGGTAATATAAATATTATTCTACGCACACACATAGAAAACAACACAATGAACACATTATGTGTCAATGCAGTTTAACTTTAAATTTTTGAAGAAAAAAAGTTAAATTTTTTATCGTTTTGGGTTTGTATATTGTGTGTATCAGAAAAATATCAAGTATTCCATATTTATATTAAGTATGAACAGTATCCAAATTTTGGTATAGTAAATTTTTCCCCTTTTCTACAAGCTCATTATTCGAACTGTTTCTGTACTTGTTCATTGTCGTAAATATCTCTTTATTTCAAAACTATCTCTAAATCGATCTTTATAGAAATACGACAGTTAGACAGTTAGTATAATTAGGTCGAACAGATTTTCCGGAAAAATGAGCGGAATACTTTTTATTTAGTTTTTTTCTTTATCGAATCGATTTCCGCTTTCTATAATAGTAATAATATTTCTATAATAGGATAGCTTTAAAAACGTAATGGCGTTGGATATATGGATATATATATTAGAAATTACATATATTATTTTTACTTTTATTGTTGAAAGTTGTTGAAGCTGAAAAGTCACATTTTTTAAACTGTCCCAAAATTGTCACTTAAAAAATAAACAAAACTGGCAAAACAATTATCAAGGAAACTTTTATTTTTATTTTAATTATTATTATTTTTACGGGATCGGATCAATTGGACAGACAAAAAGGAAAAATTTACTCGAAGACATTGATTTTTTTAAAAATTATTTTAGACAAAATTACATCTTTTATGCAAAAAAATTATGCATTTCATTTGTATGGTATTCTAATTATATTATTATTACCATGCAAAAAAAAAATTGTGTTGAATTTAATTTTTACAAAATTAACTTGATGGCGTTGATATTATTTATTTATTTGTATTTTTTTGACAAATAAGATAATAGATATTATTTGAAATTAAACTGAAACGAAGTTGAATTAAATAGTGGAATTGGCACTTACCGGGCACAGTCGACGCCTTGAGGTCGTCCATTAATGTGGTCGGAGCAGGCGCCAATTGTAAAGCTGGACGCAGGCGGGTTGCCCACATTGGGAACATTGGATGAGGCGCTGGCGCTGGGCGAGATGGGCATGGACGTGGACGTGGACAGACTGGCATTTGGCGAGCGTTGAGACTGAGATTGAGACTGAGACTGAGGAGTTGCTGGCGACTTGTTGCGATGCTGGATTTCAATTAATTCACAAGTCTTGCAATCGATACCCTTGAAATCGGGATGTTCCAGGCAGCTGCTGGGGAACAAGAGATGCTTCTGATGCTGTTGTTGTTGCTGCTGTTGTTGTTGGTGCAGCTGCTGCTGGAGGAACTCAGTTAGTAGTTTGACACCCCTCGCATTCTGTTCGTTGGCGAGCGCTGCGAGGGATGCTTGAAAGGAACTAAGTTGCATTTGCGCCTGTGCTGTTGTTGACGGTGGGTAGACGCTGCCACTCACTGTGGCGGTGGCAGCCACATGTTGCATGGTCATTAGGTGGTGCTGCAATATATCGCCAGCTGTTGCTGCTGCTGTTGCATTTGCATCTGCAACATGTTGCTGCTGCTGCTGTTGAGGTGATGGCGTCTCCACGGCTGAGCTTGTTGCATCCTCCGCTTTATGGATGCTTTTATTTAACTTATCGCTACTTATATTATCAGTACTAGCTCTTAAATCTGCCGTGGGAGGAGCAGCTGCAGGAGGAGCAGAAGGAGAAGCAGCTGGAGGAGCAGCTGGAAGAGCAGCTGGAGGAGCAGCTGGAGGAGCAGCTTGAGGTGAGCAGTCCCGACTGCCACATTCGGATGTTGCCTCCGTTGCAGCCGCTGGCGATTGCCGAGGCGATTCTGATGCGGGTGAGTTGCATGTTATCGATGATGTTGCAGTTGTAACAGTTGCCGTTGATTTCGTAGTATTATTAGTCTTTGTTGCTGTTGCTGAATTTAAGGAACCAAATTTCACAGACGCCTGCGCAGCTGCTACTTTTATAGATGTGTTATCGTTATCATTATCAATATCGTTATCGGCATCTCTGACGCCAACCTCATCGTTATCATCATCTCCAACGTCATCGTTATCATTATCATTATCATTATCGTTATCGTTATCGCTTTCCACATTGCTCGCAGCAACTTCCTGCTGATTGTTGGCTAAATCGACTGGCTGCTGCTCGAGATTGACATTGAGTAGACAATCGAGTGGCTGCAGAAACGATATCTGCGGTTTCTCATCCATATTCCGCTGAATAATTGCACTCGATAATTCGTGATTCAACAGCTGTTTATCCAGCTCCAGCAGATTCAGTCGATGATCCGTATTCGCATGCAAACTAAACGAATTCACGTTACCAAACGACAATTTGCATATGAAGCACATCAATATCGGTTTATGTTTATTATTTTTACTTGTTGTTCCTGTTGTTGTTGTTGCGGTTTTGGTTGATGATGTTGTTGTCTTTTGTTGTTGTTGCTGGAACTGGATTTGATTGCACGCATCTTGGGCTGAGACCACACGAAAGGAATGGATCTTTGGGCTCAACTGATAAGCACCTTCTCCAAATCCAACTCCTTCCTCGCCCGAGCCCTCGTCCGATTCCTTGTTGCTCCTCTGTTTGTTTCTTAGTCCTGATTTGAGAAATACTGTCTCTCCTTTCAATTTATCACAAGGGGATGCTGATGTTGTTCGGGCACCGCTTGTAGTTAAATGGTCGCCGGGCGGAGCTGGAGGAGCAGTCGTCGCATTGCCTGCATCGATTATAAACGCGCTGCCGTCGAGATTGTAAACTATTTTGCCATTGAAGGTTTCAACATCAGAACTGGACATTGGAGAGCCGTCGTTAGCATTATTGGAGTGCTACAATGATACAAATACAAATCAATTTTAATTCAAAACATTATTTTCTTTTTTTTTGCACTGCTTTTTTTCTTTTTAAAAGTAATAAAATTCAATTTTTCACATTTTTTTGTTCCCCAATAGTTAGCTATTCTAAGTGTCGAATAAAAAAGAAATTGAATTGTTAAAATTAACAGTAAATTTCTTCCGATTAAAAGCTCTGCTATTCAAATTAAAATTACATATAGAAATTATATAAACATTTTAAATTAATGATCTGTCTAGCCTCCATTTTGATTTGTTTAGTCCAAAAATTCGATTTGACATCGATTCAACCACTTTTTGGAAGTTGGTGGGATTTGCGATTTCGTAGCTGCTCAATCTCTTAAAATCCTTGTCCCGAAACCACAACCACTGTATTGAAGAATTGTCCTGTTGGAATAGAGCATTGGAGTCTGGTTAATTCTCCACAAAGTTCACCAAAACTCCGTCCAACAGGTTTATATAATCCTCCAATTTCATACGGCCTGAAATTTTACATATCGGGGACTGCATACAGATCATGAGTGAAGCAAAACGAATTTTCATTTTGTTCCAAACTAATCGATCACTACGTGGTACAATTTGTTAATCACGATGTTTCGGGGCTTGAAAACTATCTGGACTGCGGATCTATTGTGCCTCCTTCTGAGCCTATAGCTCCTCGCTTGCACAAAACCTGCATAGTTCGCTTCAATAAATACCTAGTTCAGTTAGGTGACTTTTAAGTCTACAATGTCCTATCAATAGACCGGTGAGTATCCTCAGCCTATTCTTCCCCATGATTATTACTTGCTTACATCGTTTATGATTATAGCCACCCAAAAGACATCTGTTTTGTCGGAGTCCTGGTATCTCAGTCCATTGTTGCCTCTGTCTTTCTTCGTTTCTAAGTTGCAGTCGTATTGTATACCTTCCTATGCCACAAAACGGTTCTGGCCTTTTAGGGGCCTCTCTGCCCCCAATCTCGCTTGCTCATCAGCAGCTTCGTTTCCCGCTATATCCTCACTTCCCCAAATATAATTTCAGATGGCGTATCATTTTTATCCAGCCCTGTCTGTAACATCATCCGTGTGATAATTTTTTGCTGTTGGTTTTTTAGCATTGTATTTTATATAGTTTTTTTTTTTAATTTGAAGACATTATCAACTGGTGTTGCCGATCAACTTAATTGAATTGATTTTTGCCTGTTATTATTCCAGTATCCTGGAAGCAAGGATCTTAGCTATCTTCTTAGGCTAACGTGTTTTTTCCTTCCCCATTCCAAATTTTTGGTATGTAACTAATCTGTTTCTATCAAATAAATATGCATACCATGTTATATGTCATGATCAACTAAAATCTTATTTAGATGGCGATGGGTTCAGAATCAAATATTTTGTTAACCATAAAGAAAGTTGAGCTACATATCAGCCTTTCTGATACAATTTTATTAGTTATTTATTTATCTATTTAAAAAGTACAACAGAAATTAAATTAAAAGTTAAATTCAACATTCAAAATTAAATAAAAATAAGAAATTTTTACAAGATTTGAAGGGGTTTTTAAAAGCAAAATGGTTCTAGATCAGTAAAAAGTCTATTGCAATCAATGCAGAGTACAATACTCACCACTCCTAAGATTGTTAAAAAGAATCTTGGGAACACCTATATATCTGGCGCAATTTTCGAGATTAAGTTTTACCAAATTTTCCAAGTCCGTCTGTCTGTCTCTATCAACAGGCAGATCTCAAAGATCTCTACAAGAGCTTGAGACTTCAAATTTGGAATATAGGTTCTCGTATACCAGGCGCAGATCAAGTTCGCTTTATTTTATCGATAACTGCCTCAATTCTTCGATTATCGATACATTTCAATTTAAGATAGCAATAAATGCTACAATTTTAAAGACAGAATCTTCTTTAATTAATACATAGTGGGCATATGCATATTATTGATCAACTACCCAAATTTCATCAAGATCGGATCGTGTACGTTACGATTGCGTGTACGTATATATGTATGTATATATGAATATTCATGCGTTTATCGGCAATAAAACTAGAATAAATTTAACAACTGAGTTCAGCGAGAGAGAGACAAATGCTTACCTTATTAATTGTAAGGGTAGACAAACAAATGAAACAAATCTGCATGAATTTTTATGTGTGTGTGTGTGTGTGTGTGTGTGTGTGTGGTGTGTGTGGTGTGTGTGTGTGGTGTGTGTGTGTGTGTGTGTGTATGTGTGTATGTGTGTGTGTGTGTAGTTATCACTGGCATCAGTTCATTTTAACGTCGTTGAGCAATAACAACCGAAACAGAAGCGATGACAACAAGAGAGAGTGAGAGGGGAGGGGCAGAAGAAGCAGAAGAATACTAACAATGCAAAATGGGTAATTACTTGACAATTATCTGAAATACGTTTTGAAAATGCTTTATAGCTATTTAATGACAACTGTGCCATGATGACAACTTAAATATGGTGTGCATGTGTGTGTATGCATGTGTGCGTGTGCACGTGTGTGCGTGTGTACGTGTGTGCATGCATCTCTAAATGATTTTGTCTGCCTGTATTCATTTTTTCATTTAAATGTGTGTGCACTCATTGTAACTGAAATTTGCATTCAGACAACTGGTACATACTTACGCACATGCATACATACAAATTAAAGTTGAAAGCAGGTATATAAAAGTTAAATGATTTAATGAAAGAGCTTCGAAGAACTTCTTACAGGTTATAGTTGGTTAAACATTGACATTCATTTGCAGACTCGACAATAAATGGCACTAAAAATAAATCGACTTCATAAAACAGACTAGGAAAGTATTTAATAACCCTCATCAGATGAGTCATGGTCCGTGAATAATCTATATACATATATTTATATATATATATTCTATATTCATTTAAGAAGCTCCCATATGGAGTAACATTTTTAAATCGAATTTTTACATGAACTCAGTCGCTAAAACTCTTAATTGTCATCATTAAATACGGAATAATTATTAGTACAGCACTATTTTTGCCTTAACTGCACCTTTCCGAGTAGTTTATTATGTTATCAATTCAAAGACCAAAACCTTCTTTTGGCCTAATTGCATTTTTTTCTGGCAACAAATGTTGAAGCATTTTGCACAAATATTTCTTATTTTTTTTATATCATTTTAAATGTCAAATTGGATTTTTAAATGTTATATTTTTTGTATTTTTTTCTGTTTCGACTGATATTAAACGACAGTAAATAAATAAATAAATAAATAAATATGTAAAATATTTAATATTTGAGTTACTCAGAGTCCAATACTCTCAATAAGAGGTGTAGAATTATCTAAAGTGTGCATATTCAATAGATAGATTATAGATCGACACACAGATAATAGATAGATAATAGACCGCATCGAAATTTATCGAGAATGATTAACGAAATTTATTTATTAATCAATTTGATGTTGACTAATATCAGTCGACATAGAAAATTATAAAAAGTAGCAAATAAATGAATTAAATTAAAAATTACATTTTTATATTTAAATTTAAAAAACAAGCGATCTGAGCACTAATTCTGCCTGATTTTAATGCAAAGCGGTCCAACATTTGTTACCAGAAAACACCCAAAAAAAATAGTTTGTATAAATTAGTTAAGATCAATTCCAATCAAAAATGCATTAAAAGTGCTACAATTGAACGGAAAGTATAATCAAATATACTTGATCTACAAATAATATAAATATACTTGATAATATATACAATACAAATATATCTAGATCGGCTATAGTATATATATTTGATTGGAACCGCAGATGCTTACAGCAGTCTCTTAAATACTTAATTAACCATTTGAATGGTTTCAAGTCATAAATATTGATCAAGGTACAACAGGAGATTACTAATAATAATAATTTCTGTTTATATTTATCATTGATTTGAATTTAATTGAATTCAGCTAAGAAGCAAAAACGTTAAACTTAACTTCAAGCATTACTATATCGGGATTTAATACATATTATATTTTCAAACCATTGTAGATCGGCTAATACTGATAAAAAAAAACATATAGCATATATATTTTATCGATATGGGAGATGCTTACAGCTGTCTGCTGTAATACTTCATTAATCAAGGGTTAAGAGAGTGAGATGAGAAATTATTGGATCATAATATAATGATAATTTGAGTTCATATTTTGCATTGATTTTAATTTACTTCAATTCACCTCATAAGCAAAAACTTTGAACTTGAATTTCAAACCGATTTAGATCGGCTATTAACGCTGATTAAGCCAAAATAGTATTGTAGTAATAAATGTAAAGTATTATAAATATATAATGTATATTTTTATTATATGTATTTATAAAAAATACAAAGAGTAAAAAATTGAATTAAATTATATTTATAATAAAATTTAAAATAATATAAGAACTTAAAAATATGAAATGTTAATAAGATTTTTGGGGGTCTTTAAATGTAAAATGCTGCAACAGATAAACCCCAATCAGACCAACTAATAGTATAGATTATATTGTCTGAAAAGATAATTAATAGTGAAAAATTAATGCAGCTGAGAAGCCAAAACGTTGTTGGGGCATGGACAGATAGAGACAGAGAGAGAGACACCGCGAGGATGAGAGAGAAGGGGTTTCTGAGGCACAAGTGACAATGGGCAAGTTCAAGTTGCCTTTGGTATTTTTGTGCCAAGTTAAATTTGCATGTGTTGTTGCTAGAGTTGTTGGAGTTATTTTGTATTGCCTGCATATCCGGGGCATGTTGCATATTGCACCGGCTTCGGCGTCAAAAGAGTAACAAGCAAGAGTTGAGAATTATGAGGACCGAAGGTGTAATGAAAAGACTCACGCAGATCGCACCAAAAGGCCTTTGACTTGCCAACTGATGAGTCTTCTGTTATTTTCTTTTCTTTTTTGCATACCAAGACAGACAGAGACTCGGAGACAAACCAAACCCGAACCCATAAGCATAAGCATAGGTATACGTATAGGTATAGTGGT